TACTCTAATCGGCACAAGTTTTAGAAATTAAAACGTTTATGAATAAGAAAGTTTAGTGACGCGTACTTATCTCTGCCGACTTTTTAAAAAAAAATTATTTGACAACCTGCGAATTAAAAAAAAAGATCGCGTATGATTATTGGTTAATATTATAATAGGTTATGGATTAATCATGGATTTCAACACCAGCCCTGGCCTGCCATTCTCGACTCTGAAGGAAAGCATTGTATCATTTCAGGGGGGTTATGTATCGCAATGAGTGGAAATTTAATAATTTAATCTCTTTTAGTCTAATAAACACGAAAGAATTTAAAGGCTTGGAATATTTGTTTGAAATTACAGGAAGCAATTTTGAATTTGTAAGAAAAATTTCTAATTCTTCATTTTTTTTCTCGTATTCTTAAAGCTCATATATGTTGGGTGCTCTTCTGTGTAAAACAGCATGTACTTAGTTAATATCAAGTACATGCACATAAAATCGTGTCATTGTAATATTCTAGCTTTTTATTCGATGAAATAAAAGAAATTTATAATTTAATTTTCGATTTTCATGAGAATTGAAAACGTCACTTCCACTTACAATTTATACTGTGTGCATTTGTCATGTTTGTTTGTAATTGCTATTATAAACAACATCGCAATTTTTCCTGAAATGATTTAAGCAATTAGAATAACTTGATATAGGCCCGTATACATGTAACGATTGCAATTACTTCAAAGTTGAGAGGGAGACGACGGCGCCTAAATATGTGTATCTTTCCAATAATAGAATCATCCGTTCAAATTAAAAACAATTAAGTTGCAGTTGTGATATCCCGATTCTTTAAATAACGAAACTATATTGTACTTCACAAGTGTAGAATTCAACATTAATTTATGTACATGTGCAATTACAATCATAATCAAAATTGGCAGAGTTGTCGATAGGTCATCCTGCGTCACCTATCAATGTAACCGATGGACTCGTCCAGAGAAATCATCTGTACCTGAGTAAAAGCGCAGCGCCTCTTATTCATTCGTCAAAGAATAGAATCAGACATTTTATCTTTTAATACTCATACATGTTCAAGAAAACCTTTATATTTGTGTCTAGAAATATTCTTACGATTTACGCAAATATTATAACAAATTCTTGATTTTAAACTCAGTAAATCGATGACTAGCATCGTTTTAGATAACTCTGGGACTCGCGTAAAAATCAAAGAGCGGTAATGTTGACCTCCGGAATGTATATAGGTCAATGCGCGATCGATAAACGGGTTGCACAATTGTAAACAAAAACAGTCAAAGTCCGAGGAAAATTCACGATGCATGAATTAAATGACAGTGAATTATTTTAAGCTTGATTTTTTTTTTTATAAATAATGCTACATTGAGTATCGAATGAAAGATGATAAGTATTTTTCCTATCTCCCGTCTTGTAATTTAAACTAAATACAAGGAGAAGGTTGTCTCTGAATAATCTGTATGACATCCAGCTAGAGAATACGTTAAAAACTTTATTTCAACAAAGTTTAACATTCAATTTAGTTAAGTATATTATTCTTATCCAGTTTATTTCAGTTATAGTACGTGTTATTCGCGTATGCATAAAGAATTCTTCACTTGCTGTATAAAATTAATCAGTTACCTGTACATGGATTATAAAGTTTGCTGCTCATTTAATAACACAAGATTCGAACAAATAACGTTTTCATGAGATCAATAAGATGTTAAAGAACCCATTTCAAATCGATAACCATATCGAAATTTTACCGTTTTTGAGTTATAATGCAAAAACTTTCAAGTTCCCTTGACCCCTAATTTGAGGGGCCAGCCCCTTTTTAATGATGTCAAATGATAGATCTTAAAATTATGCACAATATTTGTGAAACACGTCTTAACAAATTATTTTTAGTTTAAAAGATACACAAGGAAATATATGTAAAATTTGGCACTTTTAGGCATTCTCATTTTTGACCCCTATCTAACACCGTTTTGAGCGCAGAAATCGAAAAAGAAAAACCGATGTGCACAACTTCAATTCTTTCAGTATTTAAATGCAGTAGACATTCTGCTCCAGCTTTTGTCGTTTCTGAGCCTTTGTCTGGAAACGAACAGTACCAAATTTTCATTTAAAGGGAAATAACTCGAAAGCGGAAGGGAATTTTTGAAATGTATGAAAACATTTTAATTGAGTTTTGTAACGTCCAAAAACTCTGAAAATTTGAGCGAAATCTGTTAAGAAATGAGCGAGTTACGAGGTCTCAAAGTTGGCGTCTAGGAAAAAAAAAGAATAATAGGAATAATCTTAACCATCAGAATCAGTAGAAGGTCTTCCGCCTGAGCGGAAGACCTTAATTAAAGTTTAGTCATATTGATATGTAAGCCACCTCATGTATTGAAGATTCAAATTATTGAAATCATGGCCCTTTGGGGTAGGGACGGAAACAATTGGGAATCAAATTCAAATTATTATGAAGTTATATATAGGAAGAAAATGTTTTTAAAAAATCTTTTTATCAAGAAAAGCAAAGCTATATGCTGTATTAATATGAAGGCATTCTCAAGTAGTATCAAAGTCAAGCAGCCCCCCCCCCCCTTCAGTAAACTTTTCAGTTATGATCTGATTTGTGCTTTTTCCTAGCCGATTTGCTCAGGTGAGCGATGTGGCCCCTGCGCCTCTTGTTTTTTCTTGTTTTCAGAATGGCTAAGTTCGGATGGATTTTGTCGATATTTGATGTCGGATGAAAACGCTCCTGTGTATTTAGAAAGGTTGGACATATACATGGACATGGATCAACCTCTGTGTCATTACTTCATTAATTCTTCACACAACACATACCTAACAGGCAGACAGTTTGGGGGGCGGTCCTCAGTAGAGATGTATAGACAGGTGCTTCTGGCTGGATGTAGGTACGTAAATCTTACAGATCTACTGAAAAGTGTCAATAACTAGGTGTATGTACTATACATATATTTTCTGTTAGGGTTGGGGTCAGAGTAGCCATAGTTAGAGAAAATCAGTATTCCCATGACCATCAGGAGAGCATGGGCCTCCTTTTAACATACAAAATTTTTGGAAAACAATTCAGGTTGTCTTTGAATTGTAAAACTGGTACGTGAAGCATGGCAGTCATTCTCTTTTAATTTTTTTTTTTTTTTTAGGAGTATTGAGTTGGATATTTGGGATGGAACAAAAGAGGAGCAAGAACCCATCATTACCCACGGCATGGCAATGTGCACAGATATTTTATTTAAGGTACATTTACTGGTCAAAAACCAGAAGGGTTTATGGGGTGGAATGGTGTCTGTCATCTGTCTTTTTGTTTCAAAATGCACTTAGATTTCATTCAATTTCATTCAAAGTTCTCAGGAGGACTTGAATAAGATAAATAATTGGCAATTTTAAAAGATTTGTGGATTTTGTGTTTCTGTTTCTCCTTTACCCAGTAATTTGACAGACCACACATTTTTTTGGCCTTAGTACAATAGAATTGATATTAATTCCTCTCACCTTTGAAATATATTGACCAATAAAGGGATATTATATAATTATGACCCGGTGTTGATCCTTGTCTCTTGTTCCATGTTGGTTAATTGGTTAAACCTTCTGGACAACGTACAGTAAAACACGTTTAGTACGAACACGGATATAGCAAATTTACGGATATAACGAAGTTTTTATTGGTCCCCGGCAAAATTCTTAACAAATCCTTGTAAAATTTTACGGTTATAACGATCTCTGATATAACGAATTTACGGATATAGCGAACTGATTTTGAGTCCCGTTGAGGTTAAATATAATGAATTTTAAATCTTTTATAACGAACTTTCAAGGATTTCAAAATTTGAATAATTGAACTGACTTTATTTTCTCTCAGCACTTGTATATAAAATTCAATTCATAATACCTTAGTTATCGAAGGTATATGTTTTGTAATAATTGCTTCCCTAACATATTTGATAGTAACACTTGAAGGAAAACATGCATATTGCGAATTCTCTATATATGGTTATACGAATTCGTTATACGGATATAACGAATAACGGATATAGCGAATTAAATTCACAGGTCCCCAGGACTTCGCTATAACCGTGTTTTACTGTATAGCTCTTTTTGGGAATTGTTGGACCATTTTCAACCAACATCTGATGTAAAGCATCCATTGTTAAAGAGAAGTAAAAACATTGAATTCAATTTTATTTTTTTTTACCTCTTGGGGTCTGAGGGATGTGGCTTAAACCATCAAAATACATGTACGGGGTAAATGCAATCATCAGAAACCTTTTGGTCTTCAGTATTTTAAACTGCATCTTTCAGAAATTTAATACACATATTTATTATGAGAGAGAGAGAGAGAGAGAGAGAGAGAGAGAGAGAGAGAGAGATTGGATTTATCTGCATTTCAGTCCTTGGGTGCTGGGGTACAAATGGTAAAGGGATCAAACTTTTGCGACAGTGCGATCTATGTTGAGAATTGTGTGACTAGTTACAATGTGATTGAAGAATAAGATTTTCTTGTTTGTATTTGTAGGATGTTATTCAGGCAATAGCAGAAACAGCCTTCATCACTTCTCAGTATCCTGTTATACTGTCATTTGAAAATCATTGCAGGTTTGTCATGCTGATTAGAGCATTTTGCCATAATTATCTGAGTATTTCTTATAAAATAAGAGGTAGTTTTTAGCTAACCTCAACAAAGTCAAGATGAGCTTATGCTATACCCCCGGCTGCCTCGGCATTAGTGTCGGCTTCCAGGTTAAAGTTTTAGGTGCAGGTCCATTCCCAAGTAACTATAAGCCCTACCTGGACCAAACTTACATAGGGGATGCATCTAGAGATAGAAATTACCAGACATTCTTCATATGCTTGGTCTGACCCACATTTTCCAGATGCGTGACCAGGTTATTTTTAGCTCTACTGGTCAGAGACCAGAAGAGCTTATGCGATAGTAATGCGTCCGGCGTCCGTCCGTCTGTCTGTAAACAATTTTTCAAAACGCTACTCCTCCTACAGTTTTGGTCTGATTTCAATATAACTTGGCACACAAGTAGACTACACTAAGATACATAGAATAGTGCATCGATTTTTGATTTCAATAAATGGTGTTGCCATGGTTACTAAAAATAGAATTTTCTGTGAAATTCCTTTAAAACGCTACCCCTCCTACAGTTTTGATCTGATTTCAATATAACTTGGCACACAAGTAGACTACATTAACATACATAAAATAGTGCATCGGTTTTTGATTTCGATGAACGATGTTGCCGTGGTTACTAAAAATAGAATTTTCTGTGAAATTCCTTTAAAACGCTACTCCTTCTTCATTTTTGGTCTGATTTCAATATTACTTGGCACACAAGTAGACTACACTAAGATACATGAAATAGTGCATCGGTTTTTGATTTCGATGAACAATGTTGCCGTGGTTACTAAAAATAGAATTTTCTTTGAAATTCCTTTAAAACGCTACTCCTTCTTCATTTTTGGTCTGATTTCAATATTACTTGGCACACAAGTAGACTACACTAAGATACATGAAATGGTGCATCGGTTTTTGATTTCGATGAACGATGTTGCCGTGGTTACTAAAAATAGAATTTTCTGTGAAATTCCTTTAAAACGCTACTCCTTCTTCATTTTTGGTCTGATTTCAATATTACTTGGCACACAAGTAGACTACACTAAGATACATGAAATAGTGCATCAGTTTTTGATTTCGATGAACGGTGTTGCTGTGGTTACTGAAAATAGAATTTTCTGTGAAATTCCTTTAAAATGCTACTCCTCCTGCAATTTTGGTCTGGTTACAATATACCTTGGCACACAAGTAGACTACACAAAGATACATAAATTAGTGCATCAGTTTTTTGATTTCGATGAATGGTGTTGCCATTGTTACTAAAAATAGAAATGTCTGTGAAATTCCTTTAAAACGCTACTCCTTCTAAAGTTTTGGTCTGATGGCAATGGCTCCTTTTTACTCATCCTTTGTTATAAGTACAAACCAGTAGAGCTTCAGTCTCAACAGAGACTTCTGGTTAACTGTATACGGAGTTAAAAATATATATTTGTACTCATCAACAATTGGGAACATTTTACTTGTCTTAGCAGTACTAGTAAAGTAAGTCTTTTCTCGAAGTGGACTTAAAAATCTACAAGGTTTGATCCAAAAGTTCATGGAATTTCTTTCTAAAATTTTATCGTGATTTGATGAAAGCAAACAACAGGCATATTTATAATAAAGAGTCATAATGCAACAATATTGGAAAATTTCACAACTTTCCAATTACCAATAAGGTCACATGAGCTTTCTGAAAATGGATTGTTGTGAAACCTGGGGGAGACTTCGACGTAACGTCAAGTTTGATTTGTCAGGTTACGCTATAGATGCATCTCACCCTAATGTCCAAGTTGAATACGTACTATAAGTAATTCTAAAAAATGCTGTCCTCTTCTCCATTTTTTTCCTCAAAAAAGCCTGGGTATCCTCTCGCATTAATTTATCTTCATTTTTCACTCATATTTCAAAATACTCCCCATCTTTCCATATGATGTTCCAATTTCAGTAGCAATGTCAAGAACAGTACGTCAGCCGACAAAGTCCATTAACGCTTTTAATTTGTCTAGGGGATAAACACTTAAAACAGAGCCCCCAAAAGGCGGTCACACCTTTAATCAACATCTATGGAAGTTCTTTTTTTCTTAAATTTCTTACACCAATGGAAAACCAGTAACTAAATGCATTTTTCCCCAGTCTCTGTTAATAATATACGCATTTAACATAGAGTGATCCCAGGATTTTCACAAAACTTATGACTTGACGGAAATTTGATGTTGTCTAACAACTCATGAATGAGTTGAACTAGAATGAATGAGATGAACAAGAAATCAACAACTAATAAACTAGATATCCAGTAAAATCAGTAAAACTCTCACACAAAGGTTTATAAAAGATCAAGCAATCGCAATAATGACATAATTTTCATTTTATATACCACATATGGCGGTTTATTCTCATTTTACGTATTAAGAATTTAAATGAGAATAAATGCATTAATATCTCCCCCTCATTTCCAAACAACGGTTTCTATGGCAACTGCAATAGAGTTACTATCATAGATATTTAGGGCCCCGCAAGGATTTGCGGGTGCCCTATAGTAATCACTCTGTCTGTCCGTCTATCATTCTTCCGTCCCCAAATTTACTGTTTTTTCCTAATAACTTTTTTTGTGGTTGCCCAATTAAGATCAAGTTTGGTATGGTAGTTCAATAGGCAGAAAGACATATTTTGATGCTAAGTTTGTTTCTCTATGTCCTCTGGTTTGGAGCTGGGGTGGTGGGGTATATTCCTTAACTTTATATAAGAATGCATTGGCAAAGAGAGATAACTGCTGAAGATGTTCCCATTGTAAACTGAATGCTGCTTTGAGTCCCATGGGATTAATTAGCTTTCCTCCTGAAGAAAATCCAGAGCATTATCTTTATCTGTCACATTGAGATGAATTACCACATCTGTCTGCAAATGAAGTTTGTTTTGAAGTTAAGTCAATTTGGAATGCTATGAACACTCTGAAATGTGGATGTAAATATAAATGTTTGTACTTTATTTTTGTTAAAATAGTTATGATTTCATTGAATTCTAAAAAACAAGAAATGGATTAAAAAAGATATATTTTTTATTTCAATAAATTTTTTTTTTTTTATTTTACTTTTTTCCCTTTATGTAAATTCAAGAATATTAATTTTTAAGTAGTTGTATAAAAACCCCATTCTATCATTAATACTGAAAAAGTTCTTATTGTAACTTTAGAAGAAAATGATGAGAGAGGTACAATTAATCCCTTTGGATTAATTATCTAGCCTGCTGCAGAAAATTTAGTAGGCTTTTTCTGATCAAAATTTGTCCGTTGTCTGTCGTTGTCGTAGTCGTTGTCGTTGTCTTCGTAAACTTTTCACATTTTCATCTTCTTCTCAAGAACCACTGGGCCAATTTCAACCAAACTTGGCACAAAGTATCCTTGGGTGGAGGGGATTCAAGTTTGTTCAAATGAAGGGCCACGCCCTTTTCCAAGGTGAGATAATAATGAATTTGTTAAAAATTAATGGCATTTTAAAAAAAATCTTCTCCAGAACCGCTGGGCCAGGAAAGATGAAACTCATGTGGAATCATCCTCAGGTAGTGTAGATTCAAGTTTGTTCAAATCATGACCCCCGGGGTAAGGGTGGGGCCAAAATGGCCGACCCAAGTTTTACATAGGAATATATAGGAAAAATCTTTAAAAATCTTCTTCTCTAGAACCACTGGGCCAGGAAAGATGAAACTCATGTGGAATCATCCTCAGGTAGTGTAGATTCAAGTTTGTTCAAATCATGACCCCCGGGGCAAGGGTGGGGCCAAAATGGCCGACCCAAGTTTTACATAGGAATATATATGAAAAATCTTTAAAAATCTTCTTCTCCAGAACCACTGGGCCAGGAAAGATGAAACTCATGTGAAATCATCCTCAGGTAGTGCAGATTTAAGTTTGTTCAAATCATGACCCCTGGGGCAAGGGTGGGGCCAAAATGGCCAACCCAAGTTTTACATAGGAATATATAGGAAAAATCTTTAAAAATCTTCTTCTCAAGAACCACTGGGCCAGGAAAGATGAAACTCATTTGGAATCATCCTCAGGTAGTGTAGATTCAAATTTGTTCAAATCATGACCCCCGGGGCAAGGGTGGGGCCAAAATGGCCGACCCTAGTTTTACAAAGGAATATATAAGAAAAATCTTTAAAAATCTTCTTCTCAAGAACCACTGGATCAGGAACGATGAAACTCATTTGGAATCATCCTCAGGTAGTGTAGATTAAAGTTTGTTCAAATCATGACCCCCTGGGGCAAGGGTGGGGCCAAAATGGCCGACCCTAGTTTTACATAGGAATATATAAGAAAAATCTTTAAAAATCTTCTTCTCAAGAACCACGAGGACAGGAAAGATGAAACTCATGTGGAATCATCCTCAGGTAGTGTAGATTAAAGTTTGTTCAAATCATGACCCCTGGGGCAAGGGTGGGGCCAAAATGGCCGACCCAAGTTTTACATAGGAATATATATGAAAAATCTTTAAAAATCTTCTTCTTCAGAACCACTGGGCCAGGAAAGATGAAACTCATGTGGAATCATCCTCAGGTAGTGCAGATTCAAGTTTGTTCAAATTATGACCCCCGGGGCTAGGGTGGGGCCAAAATGGCCGACCCAAGTTTTACATAGGAATATGTAGGAAAAATCTTTAAAAATCTCTTTCTCTTAAGATCCACTGGACCAGGAAAGATGAAACTCATGTGGAATCATCCTCAGGTAGTGTAGATTCAAGTTTGTTCAAATCATGACCCCCAGGACTAGGGTGGGGCCAAAATGGCAGACCCAAGTTTTACATAGGGATATATAGGGAACTCTTTTTAAAATCTTCTTTTCAAGTACTTCAAAGCTATGATTAGTGATATTTATATGGAATCATCCTCAGGTAGTGTAGATTCTAGTTTGTTCAAATTATGAACGCATGGAGGGGGGGGGGTGGAGTAAATTCAAGCCTGATGTGCTCAGGTGAGCGCTGTGGCCCCTGGGCCTCTTGTATATAAGATAAGCTTCATAATTGTTAAAATATACATTCAATGTTAAGTTGTTCTTTACTGCCTAATGTAAATACAAGGATATTATTTACAGGTTTTTGAATGTTCAGGAATTATCTTGAAATTTTAAGAATACAGTTGCTGTTGCTTATTCTTTGTAAATTTTTTAATCATTCCGTAAGCTGCACCCTTTTAATTCTATCCCATGGCGGGGCCCTTGCTGACTGGTCAGTTTTCTAGTTTAAATGTTTTTTATTTAAAATATTCAAGAAGTGTCTTTATTCTCATATGTAGGGATGTCAAATTGGTCAATTTTTAATACTCGGTTACTCGGACGTTTTTCCGATCGAGTACCCGGGTACTCGGTAAAGGTGTAAATAAATTTGAACAAGTATAAATTGATTACTGTAAAACATTGTAAACCCTTCTATAAATAAAACTACATGCTCTGATAGAGGTTTACCCGTAAATGTAAATTCTGTTGTTACAATGATGAGCACTGCATGCCCGACGAAATTTGATATAATTTTTTTTTTAAGTTCAATTTATTTATCAGGTAAACACAAGAAATAAAATCATAAGTGGTTCACAGTGTTATTGTTTTTAAAAAAAACACACAATATTCTCCGTAATTGTAATGTAACTCTTTGTTGCGTTTGACGTTCAGGCATCAGTCGTCAGAGCTACGTACAGTATCAGTTTGAACTTGATCAAGTTCTCCTAACAGAGCGGATTTACAATTTTCGTTCACTTGTTCGATCCGAGATTTGATAGTATTACGGGACGGTATTTTGTAGTTAGGTGCAACGATAGACATCAGTTTTTTAAAGCCTTTGCCTTCAACAATTTGTATTGGCATGTAATCAAACACAACCATATCAACAATCGCACGTTTAATATCATCTGTCTCTTGTCCTGAGAATTTATGCTTCTCAGGGAATTGACAAAATTATCTAATTCATTTAAACATAATAGACCTTAAACGATGTTCAGTGAAAACAAATAATTAAAGGAAACCAAAAATAAGGGTAGAAGACAGCTGAAGGTGAGAAAAGCCAGGTAACACGTGCATGGTCACGATAATTACTGTATAAACACTGCCACAGGCGATAACTGTCATTCAGAGGCATAGGAAACCCTAATTACTGTATGTACAAGCGCAATGAGCATTTTACGTTTTTAAACATATTGTTTAATGCATTAATAAATAAACTTAGAAATATTCAAAAATATAAATCCGAGTAACCGATTACCGATTTTAGTATTCGATACTCGGACGTTCGATCGAGTACCCGGTTAACCGGGTACTCGTTGACATCCCTACTCATATGTAATTTTCAACCATTTTCACTAAAAAATAAATAAAATATGAAGAAATTCCACGAACTTTTGGATCAACTCTCTTATATATCATAGAGTTAATTGTTCATTCTCCTTCACCTGTATGAAATATATTGACAAGATATTCTTTTTTTCAGCAAGCCACAGCAATATAAAATGGCCAAATACTGTGAGGAGATATTTGGGGATATGTTGTTGAAGAAACCATTGGAAAATTGCCCTGTAAATCTGCTATGATTTCTATGATGATTTCAAGATTCTTAACATCTTTATTAAAGAAAAATTAGAGTCTTTAATTTCAGTTCTTTGCCTTGTTGATAAATATTGAAATACTTAAATTGGCCAATGAAAGGGTTAAAAATATAAATTCTTATTGCTGTCTCCGAGTTATTCCTTTTAATACACACATTCTTTTTTGATGAACCATTTTCTGTTACAATCTTTTCATTAATCATCAGTTACAACCTGGAGTACCCTTACCATCACCCAATCAGCTCAAAGGAAAAATACTCATCAAAAACAAAAGACTTCGCCCAGAGGTGGAAAGAAGTAAGTCATCACAGTGACAATGCTATAGATTCTTACATGTTCAAAACAGGGCCTTCTTAGGTAGGGTAGGGGATCAAAATTATACTTAGGAAGAAAAGAGAATTTCATTTTTTACTAGAACTAAATTATAGAATTGTATGAAAAAGTATTGAGGACGTATAGATTCTAAATTGTTTCATTAAGTTTTTAGCCCTTAATGCCACGATTTGACGCACTGGCCATATCCTTAGAATGTTTGCCTGGCTGCCCCTTAGAGCGTTTTAGATGAAATGGAGTGCTGTTTAAAACTGAACTAATAAGGGTCAAAATATTTCATTTATGCTATCTTTTATATATCGTTGGATTCGTAATGAATTGAATTTTTCAAATCTATTTACATAATTTCGATTGGATTTTTCTGTAAAAAAATAATTCAGGTGAAAGCAGGTGTAAATAGCAAAATAGATACTGTAAAATGAGAAAATTTGGCGCATACGTATTTTAGCGCAAATGCAAGTGGGAATACATTGGCGCAAATAAATTTTAGCGCTTGCTCTTGTCATTAAAACATATAAATGTGATTTTTTATTTTTAGCTCTACTGGTCAGAGACCAGAAGAGCTTATGCGATAGTAATGCGTCCGGCGTCCGTCCGTCTGTCTGTCTGTCCGTCTGTAAACAATTTTTCAAAACGCTACTCCTCCTACAATTTAAGTCTGATTTCAATATAGCTTGGCACACAAGTAGACTACACTAAGATACACAGAATAGTGCATCGGTTTTTGATTTCGATGAACGGTGTTGCCATGGTTACTAAAAATAGAATTTTCTGAGAAATTCCTTTAAAACGCTACTCCTTCTACAGTTTTGGTCTGATTTTAAAATAACTTTGCACACAAGTAGACTACACTAAGATACACAGAATAGTGCATCGGTTTTTGATTTCGATGAACGGTGTTGCCATGGTTACTAAAAATAGAATTTTCTGAGAAATTTCTTTGAAACACTACTCCTTCTACAGTTTTAGTCTGATATAATATCATTTGGCACAAAAGCAGACAACACTAAGATACTTTAAATAGTGCATCGGTTTTTGATTTCGATGAATGGTGTTGCCATGGTTACTAAAAATAAAATTTTCTGAGAAATTCCTTTAAAATGCTACTCCATTTACAGTTTTGGTCTGATTTCAATATCACTTGGCACAAAAGTAGACAACACTAAGATACTTAAAATAGTGCATGGGTTTTTGATTTCGATGAATGGTGTTGCCATGGTTACTAAAAATAGAATTTTCTGAGAAATTCCTTTAAAATGCTAATCCTTCTACAGTGTTGGTCTGATTTCAATGTAACTTATTACACAAGTAGACTATACTAAGATACATAATTTTTGATAAGTACAAACCAGTAGAGCTACAGTCTAGACAGAGACTTCTGGTTTTTTATCCCATCCGTATTTGACTTTTTGGTTAGTCAAGCACGGAAACACAATAGCACTCCCATATATAAGTAAACGTTCGTCAACTTTACTGTGGGGACGTGGAACAATGTTAAAATTTATTATAATTTTATTTTGAATAAAAGAAGTGGAATATTTACGCATTTTATTCATATTAAAACAATACATGCATCAAAAGAAAGTTACTTGCAAACAAAATTATTATAACAGTTCATGTGAAAATAATTGTTTATTTAATTCTTATTTAATTATTTAATTGCATATACCTTGCCTGGCTTTGCATGCTCTACACCGGGGATAGCGTCATCCCCTTAGCCGCGCTTCACTGACCACATGCACCTGTGGCAGTATATCGAGAAAACTGACACTTAATAATGGACAGGGTGGCGGATGGCGGTATGCGAATTTGGCGTTATAAAGAGAATTTTATATAGCAGGAACAATGTTCTTGGGAAATCATGGCGGTATTGCGAAAATGGTGATTAATTGAATGGCGATAATTCGAGAATTGACTGTATATTACACATATAGATCATTATAATTTTTAAACCTTTCAAGAAATAGGTAGTTTATAGCTTGAATTTCATGTATTGATTTACTGGATGAGAAAATATTGCGTATTGACTGAGTTATATGCTCTAAAAGCATCGTATGTAACTGTCCGCCATTTTGAATTTTGATGAGACTTTCCAAAATTCATTGTTTGCACAGGTAAATCACGTGATTTCTAACTTTAGTATGATGCAGTCATCTATTGTTAACCTGCAGGTGGCCACCTGTGCTCTGATATCTAGTAAACAAGCGGTAATTTCAAGTCAAATCAACATTTAAATACACGTGCGTCAAAAGTCATCATTAAGGGTTGGGGGCTAGGCGTCAAAAGTCCTCATTAAGTGGTATAGAGGGAAAGGTCTAAGGGGGAAAGTGTTAAATCATGGACCCCTTTGGACTTCATAAGGCAGTTTTAAAAAAATCCTCTCATGAACTATTAATAGGGTGGCAATTTTTCATAATATCACAAAAATCTTTTAACCTTCAGTAGACCACAGTGGTAACGTAACTCAAGTGAGCATTGTGACTCATGGGCCTTTTGTTATCCATGTCTCGGTAGATGCTGGCACAAAAAAGAATCCTCACTGCTCAAAAGCCATAAGTGCCAAGCACAGGTCTAAATTTGCAGACTTTTCCTGTGAATGGTCACATTTCAATCTTTCATTGAGTGAAAAATTCTTGAAGGAACGTGAAACGAACAATTGTAGTATCTCAATTTTACATGGATTCAACTTGAATCATGGCATCCTTTTTTATGTTGACAAAGGAAGTTACAGTGTATTTAGGGGAAAAAAAACTGCTGAAGGAGAACAGCAGGGCCAAAGGTGAGTGCTTTGGCCCATGTACCTCATTTTATCATTCATGCTTTGATTTTCAAGATTGTTAGGTGTTAAAATAGATGTTATATTTTTTGCGAGATTAAGGATATCTGATCCCCAGCCAGGAAGGATAACTCCAAAAATTAATATTTAATTTGAAATGCATCAAATTGAAGCTTGAAAATGAAATTTTTTCATGCAACAATTTTCATTTTATTCATCTTCATAAGATTCAAGGTTTTTGGAAGTCTTAGAAAAGGTCTTATAAAAGCTGACATTTGTACCCTATCAAAGGAAAAAATCAATACAGTTTTAGAGAAATAAGATTCTCTTGAATCCAGTCTTAGATACCAATGTTTATTAGCATGATATGAAATAAGAAGTGATTTGTGTTGTCTTGCAATGATAACAAAAGCCTTTTACACTATGTATTATAGAATACATGATGGAAATAGAAGACAAAAAGAACAAAATAAGTATAAAAACTATGACAATTTCTCTGAATGCCAGGATACCTATCGCTTTTTAACCTAAAATATATTTGTTGATCAATTTGCAATTAGAAAATGCATTGCTGATATTCCAATTCGCTTTTTCTGCAAAAATATTGGAGATTTGACAATTTTCCCTACATAATATGATAAACTTTAATTTTTAACTTTAAAGAAATATTGTGGATAAATTTACATAACTTTGTGGATTCAGAGATACTTTTATGAGTAATTTGATTTCTTAACTGCTTATTTTATAAACCTGAGGATCAGACTACCTTAAGGAGAGTGTTGGCTTCTTGTTTAGTCTTGTAATTATGGAGATCATTTTCTTGATCACAAAATGTTATTGTTTAATATGTAGGGATTTCAAACATGAACACTATGGTTAAAAATGATGCCAAGTATTGATTGATTTACATTATACAATTAATTACCCTCTACCTGGCCCACTCGTTGACCTGCCCTGACCTCGGCCGCTACGCGACCTCGGTCAGGTCAGGTCACCTCATGGGCCAGGTCTTGGGTCCTTATTTCACTATGTTGAACTCAAAAGGGGTAATCAATTGTTTTATTATACTGATATATGTTGAAAGAATGAATCTCTAACCGTTATCACTTCTTTCTTTGATCGGGATTTGGATTCTGTATACTCAGTATAGTGAAGTTGTTTACATTGACGTCTGCAAGTCGTGTAAGTTTTTGCATCATGATTTACTGATTAAAACAATATCTGGTTGATAGCAACATACATTGTTATAATTAACGATTACTTTTCCTCTACACAAAGCCAGTCAAAATCTAACACAAAATTTAACTCTTAAAAGAGCCGCTTCTACATTCCATTGAACTGAATTGTAACGATATTTTGAAATGAGTAAACCGTTAAAGTTAACAATAAAATTTTACTGTATTCTGTATGGTAATGTAAAACAGACCATACACATATTAAAAACATATTGTTTTTTCTCGAATAATTATTATTTTACACATTAACTTCACTCAAAAAGGAATTTTGATTAAGAGGTCATTATTTAGCGGTCATTAATCATAATGACCGGGTCATTATATCCCACATGCAAAGATTCCTAGGTCATAATTGCTGTAAACAGTACCTTTTGGAGTCATTATTGAGTTTTAAAGTTTTCTTACCAGCCAATCAAATTCGAGTATTATCAAGGTATAATAATATACAGTTATTGACAGGGTGAGTGGGCAACATATGACTTGTTGGACCTGAAGGTGAAAATGTTGCCCGAAGCCGCAGGCCAAGGGCAACATTTTCACCTTCAGTTCCAACAAATCATGTGTTGCCCGAATCCATATTCTTATGTTGGACCAACAGGCCGTTCAATAGTGAAATCATTAGACCGATGTAATAAACATTTCTTTTGTTGGACTTTTTATAAGTAATAAATATATAGAAAGCTATTTATAAGGGTATAACAATTATATTTAATTACTTGTGTATGCATGAATGTTTCCAGCTGCAGAAAAAATATAGATTGATGAAGTTGAGATTTATTTATTTTTAAGTCACCTGAGTCACTCAGGTGACCTATTGCTATCTGTTTTCGTCCGTCGTCATTCGTCGTTTGTTGTTTGTCGTCAATCGGTCATAAACTTTTGAACATTTTTAGCTTCTTCTCAGCAACCACTCAATCAATTTCTACCAAATTTGGTATACAGCATCTATGGGTGAAGGGGAACAAAATTTGTGAATTTCATGGTCCCTGCCCCCCCTGGGGCCTGAGGGTTGGGGCCAAAACCACTAAAATTAATGCAATCTTTAAAAATCTTCTTCTTTACTCCTGGACATCAAGCAGTCAAACTGTTAGCATGAATGTAATGACCATTGAGTCCTCCACCAGAATTGTGAAATTCATGGGTTTTGGTGTTAGGGCGGGGCTCTATTGATTATATAGTGAAAATACATTAATTCTTTGAAAATTGTCTTCTCTGCTCCTGGGTATTAAACAAACTAACTAAGCCTCTTCCAAAATTGTGAATTTTAATGGCCCCAGGGTCAGGTGTTCTGGTCTTAGGGTGGGGCTCTATTAATTATATACTGAAAATACATTAAATCTTTGAATATTTTCTTCTCTGCTCTTGGGTATTTAGCAGATGAACTACCTAATATATAGCTATGATGAGCAAGGGCCATTCTTCCTGAATTGTGAATTTCAAGGCCCCTGGGTCAGGCGTACCATAGAGGGGGGGGGTCTACTTATATACTGAAAATGAATTAATTGTTTGATATCTGCTCCTTGGTATTAATCAAACATTTAAAAATTGTGAAATGTGTGGACCAAGGGTCAGGGGTTCATGTGTGGTAGTGGCACTACTGATTATTGCTGAATATTACTGATTAGTTGAAATGCATTTTTTTGTTCCCCTACTCTACATCTTTGGGTATTAAGTAACCAAACTAAACATGCTAAGTGTATAGTTATGATTAGCAATGGTGCCTCTTTCAAAATTGTGAATGCCATGATGTCTAGTTTAAAACATAAACCAAAATCAATTGTTGGAAAGTTGTTGCATGATGCTCAGGTGACCTATAAGGCCCATGGGCCTCTTGTTATTATTTATTAGATTATTATTTGTAATTATTTAAAATTTATTTTAATGTAACATGAGTTTTTCTTAGAAGGACAATATGGTACAACACTTGTTTATAATTTATTTACAGGACAATATGAGTTATTCATGAAAGGGCAGTATCAGACGGCAGTAGAGGAGTCGTCTCAGGATCAAGACGCCCTCACCAAAGTCATTGATGATATAGAAGGAGAGGATGGCCCAATGAACGGTGAGCAGGCCAATCACTTATACACTTAACTTCATAGCACTATAATATAATAATAAAAAAACGTTTTATCCAGAATGTAGTAAAGGACCAGAGAAATTGCATTAACTAGAACACATCTTTGGTATTTGTTTGGATTTTGCTGTTGTATTACCGTAATGTCATGTATATAGTGTACATTTTCCTACAGAGTTTTGTTTTTAATAATGAAAGAGTGTTGTTGTACCCTGAAACATAAAAGAAATGCTTAAAGTCCCCATTGAGAAGCTACATATAATTATGATGGATTCCCCATACAGACTCCATGTAAAGCATTGTTTAGGGAGGGACTAGGACCCAGCCTCTGGTTGATACTTATGTGGCCAGCAGCTTGTAGTGCATTAGATGTAGAGACAGTTACAGAGACTTCTATGTAATTTTTTTTGAAGTGTTACATTTTATTGTAATTGATCAATTGTGGCCCCTGGGTGACCTCTTGTTTGGTTTTCACTAGGCATAGGACATTCTTTCTGGGTAAGTTGGTTAAAAATATAGAGAGTGCATACTTGTTCACACATGCACAGCCACACTATAGATATGACAATACGGTATGTTAACATTTTATTGGACATATGTATAATGGGTATGATGATAATCCAATTTAAACTTTCTCTCGGAGCATTTTTAGATCAGTTAGAAAAAATATAAATCTGCATAAATCATGTAAATTGTAACAATTTTTTTTACCAATACATAACATAAATAACTTCAAAAAACTACTGAAAGAATAGCATAAATAGGACTAAATATGGAATATGAAAAAAGCTTATATAGTACATGGCACTTTCTCATTTCTAGCCATATTTAATGTATGATGTTGATTTTGATTAGATACATCATATTTAATAGAAGTTAACAACTTTGAAACATTTATTCTCAAAGTTTGGTGAAAAATGTGGCGTGGATAGAAATTTAAAAAAAAAGACAAATAAACATAAAAAATATTATCAAATTAACCCATACACTTTAAGGTTATGGTGAAATTTTCATAAGAAGCAGAATTACTTAACCAAAGGCATGATATTCATGTGGATTTGATATTGCCTTGTAATTGAAAAAGATCATTAGAGATTACAAATATCTCTGTGTTTTACTCAATGAGAGCATGCTTATTTTTTTTTTGTGCTTAAATGTGAATTAATGCTGCAGACGACGACCAGTCCAGCTCAGACTCGCGAGCAGAAGAAAGTCAGTCGGCTTCACCAAAAAAAGGTGAAGTCACCCATGGAGCTCAGTTCAAGTTGATCAAGGGGAAAGGTCAAGGACAGCTAGCTTGTGAAAGGCCATGTCAAGGGCATCTATCCTGTCCAAAAACAGTTTGGCAAAAATCTTAATGTAAATTTGGCAAGTTATACAAGCTAGAATATAAAATTAATTGCTTTACAGCTGTTAATCCATCCAGGGGAACAGATCAAGCATCTAATTCTATGATCATGCAGTAAAACATGGTTTGATAATTTGAATTCATATAGGCCATCAAATCAGGCTAGCTGTTCTTTAAATGTTTCAAACCCCAGTGTTGTTTGATATGAATGAATGTGAATGTATGTGTAGAATATATATGCTCTTGAAACTGATCATTCATCCTGAAGTTAATTATTGACATACTAGATGTAATAATTAATCTTAAACATGTATTTTCTGTCTCTAAAAGTTGATTAAACCTCTTGGATTTGGTTGTTAATTTTTGTTCAGTAGAGAAGGGTGAATTTCTGTATTAAAATTCTTTTTTAATTTTAAGATTTGAAGACAGCTTTTGATAAAAGGTGCATCTCTCTGTAGTGTTTTGCTATAAATTATAATTGATGTAATTTTGTCTGATTTATGGGACCATCCATTCTTTTCTATAATGGTTTTGAAATAATGATGATCATGATGAAATGATTAATAACATTAAAACATCATAGAGAGGAGCAAAATAAATATTGGTAATGTTACAATTCCAGACCACTTCAAGTATCATAAAAAGGACCTATAAGATCCCCACCCACCCTCAGTTCTGAATCTGAGGCATATTAAAATGTCATTGGATATTATTATTATATATAGATTTAACTCTATGAACAATTTCACTGGGGCACCAGAACAAAAAGGGATGGTATGTGGCTACCTGCCCCCAGCCCCCTCCCCTTTTATTATGCCCCCCTTCGAAGAAGGGAGGGCATATTGCTTTGCTGCTGTCTGTCTGTCCATTTAGTTTCCGTTCATTTTCTTCACAACCATTGCACATACTGAACTTAAATTTGGTATACAGGTTTATCAGGTGTATATCTTGGTCAAGTTCTGTTTTAGGTATGATCGCACCATTTTTGACAGAGTTATGCCCCTTGGACTTAGAAAAATTCCACTTATTTGCAGTTTCCGTTCATTTTCTTTGCAGAGGTTGCACATATTGAAATGAAATTTGTATACAGATTTTTCAGCTGAATATCTAGGTCAAGTTCTGTTTTGGGTACGATCGCACCCTTTTTGCCAGAGTTGTGCCCCTTGGACTTAGAAAAATTCCACTTATTTGCAGTTTCCGTTCATTTTCTTTGCAGAGGTTGCACATATTGAAATGAAATTTGTATACAGATTTTTCAGCTGAATATCTAGGTCAAGTTCTGTTTTGGGTACGATCGCACCCTTTTTGCCAGAGTTGTGCCCCTTGGACTTAGAAAAATTCCACTTATTTGCAGTTTCCGTTCATTTTCTTTGCAGAGGTTGCACATATTGTAATGAAATTTAGTATACAGATTTTTCAGCTAAATATATGTATCTATATCAAGTTCTGTTTTGGGTAGGATTGCACCATTGCAGACAGAGTTATGCCCTTTTGGACTTAGAAAAAATCCAGTTTGGGGGGAGGGGGGCATAAGTGTTTTACAAACATCTCTTGTTTTATTTCAAGTAGTGTACCACGTTGCTGACTGGCTCCATATATCTATTGAATGTATAGAAAATATGGATATCTTTCATAACATTGTAGTCTACATTTATCAGGTTTTGCATTTAAGGTAAAGACCATTTATCCTAGCATATTGTGGTATCATGCCTGTGTCTTATTGTATCATGTGTGTATTCTATCCAATAGTATATTGTGTGAAGAATAAGATTGCAGGTTTTGTAGATGGTAGATATAATCTGTATAATGTTCTTGGCTGCTTAAGCTACATGTATTTCCTTATTTAGCTGGTAGTAGAAAAATTATGCATGCAGAATGCTACCCTTCAAAAGTAAAACAACTGAATCAAAATTGCATGCCTTTAACTAGCATTGTTTGAATGCCCTAAGGTTGTTACATATTGAAATTTATTATATAGTGTCGCTTAATTATCTTTCTTAGTTCTGAGATGTATGAATATTATTATAACTTGAGAGTACTAGCTATATGCTTAATTTTTGTCTTAGTTGATGCTTGAGTTCTAGTGGGACTGAGTTGGTGCTTTAGCCAAAGAAACTGATGATACTCAACTGATCAGCTACAATGGCTGTGATGTTATGTGCTAACTGACAAGAATGATTACATTTCTTGAATGATTCTGCCCGATTACACACAATTAAACCTTTTACATGAATGATCTTTCATACACGATTCTACATGTTACACGATCTTTCTATATACCAACACAAACGCACGATTCTAGATGCAAAATAGTTAAAACAAGCCAAGAAGTCAAGGTCACAGGGTCAAAAATCATAGTGTATTTAGAAAGGTGTTATCACTTGTAATACACATGTTTAAGGAGGCTAGGGGGTCAACAAATTATTTTTTTATTAGCTCTTCTGAGCCAAAGGCTCAAAGAGCTAATGCTATGGCCATTTGTCTGGTGTGCAGTGTGCGTAAACTTTTTAGAATATGGGCCATAACTCAAGAACCCCTTGGCCAATCAGTGCCAAATTTGTCACAGGGTATCCTTGGCCCAAGGGCTACCATTTATACTAAAATAAGGGTTGGGACCCTTAAACAAGGGGAGATAATCAGGAAAACAAAACCAAAAGTACTAGTTGCTAAAAAATCTTCTTCTCCATAACCACCAGGCAGATTTTCACCAAACTTACATACAAGGATCAAAATATGTTGAAGATTAAATTTGCACGGGGAATTACCCTGGGGCAAAGGGTGTGGTCTCAAGGTCACTTCAAAGTTGACCTAAATTTACAATTAATAAAAACGTGTATATTTTGCTTACTATAAGGACTAGGATCATCAAATCTTTTAAGTTGATGCATCTTAGGACTTCACATCATGTTAACTCAAAAGTAGGTCATGATGACCTACTTTTAAAAAATTTGTGGGGATTTGTTTTCAAATTGATTTGAAAGTTTTGGACACTTTAAGGCCTATGATCATCAAATTTTGTCAGTTGATGCATCTTGGGTCCTCAAACAATGTCAACTTAAAAGTAGGTCACCATGACCTACTTTTTGTACTTTATGACTTATCCTTTTAAAAACATTTAATCCCATTATTTCAAACACTGGGAGGTTTAGAATCATCAAATCTTGTAAGTTGATGCATTTTGGGACCTTAAAACATATTTATGAAAAAAGTAGGTCACTGTGACCTACTTTTTGAATTTTGCCGGCATTTGTTTTCAAATTGTTTAAAATGCATATTTTGATTACCTTCAGACCTACGATCATCAAACTTGGTCGGTAGATGCATCTTGGGTCTTTAAAAAATGTCAACCAAAATGTAGGTCATGATGACCTACTTTCGACATTTTATGGCTATATTTAAGTTTCTTAGGTATTTATTGGCTTAGAATCATCAAACTTTGTGAGTCGATGCATATTTGGTTTTCGGAGAGTGATGACCAAAAAGGAGGTCACGGTGACCTAGTTTTGACATTTTATGGCTTTATTTAAGATCTCTGGTACTTATTGGCTTAGAATCATCAAACTTTGTGAGTTGATGCATCTTGGGTTTTCGGAGATTGTCGACCAAGAAGTAGGTCACAGTGACCTACTATTGACATTTTATGGCTATACTTAAGTATCTCAGGGACTTATTGGCTAAGAATCATAAAACTTTGTCAGTTGAGGCTTGGATTTTCGGAGATTGTCGACCAAAAAGTAGGTCACTGTGACCTACTTTTGACATTTTATGGCTATATTTAAGTATCTCAGGCACTTATTGGCTAAGAATCATAAAACTTTGTCAGTTGAGGCATCTTGGGTTTTCGGAGAATGTCAACCAAAAAGTAGGTCACAGTGACCTACTTTTTGAATATCTCAGGTACGTATTAGCCTAGAATAATCAAACTTTGTCAGTTTAGGCATCTTGGGTTTGCGGAGAATGTCAACCTAAAAGTAGGTCACTGTGACCTACTTTTGACATTTTATGGCTATATTTAATTATCTGGTACTTATTGGCTCAGAATCATCAAACTTTGTCAGTTGAGGTATCTTAAGGTTTCATAGAATGTCCACCAAGAAGTAGGTCACGGTGACCTACTTCTGACTTATTGGCTTAAGATCATCAAACTGTCAGTTTAGGCATCTTTGGTTTTTGGATAACGTCGACCAAAAAGTAGGTCACCATGACCTACTTTTGACATTTGATGGCTATATTTAATTATCTCTGGTACTTACTGGCTAAGAATCGTCAAACTTTGTCAGATGATGCATCTTGGTGTTCGGAGAATGTCGACCAAAAAGTAGGTCATGGTGACCTACTTTTGAATATCTCAGGTACTTAATTACTTAGAATCATCAGTCTTTGTCAATTAATGTATATCTTGAGTCCTCAGAAAATTTCAATGAAAAGGTAGGTCACTGTGACCTACTTATGGTATTTTATAATTATATTATAATATCTTCAGTCTTAACTGGCTAAATACTATCAAACTTTGTCAGTTGATGCATTTTGGGTACATGTAGAGTTGGGGGCTTCTAATAGAAGTGTTAGATTGTATAATTTATCAGAAGAGCAATTCAAGACGCTTGGGCCTCTTGTTAACCACCAGATATAACTTTTTAGATATGATATCTTAAGCTATCAACTATCATTTGGCAAAGAAAAATTTCACAAATTTTAGTTTTAAAATTTGATCATTTTGTTATATCATTATTTGGAGCTCTTCTTCTAAAGGAGATCAAAAGAATCTGAAAATGGCCACAACCACCCAGCCCCTTTAATATGAAAGCCCCATCTATTCTCATTCTAAAGTTATGAACAATGTTAGTTTTTGAAAAGGAGGTCAAACTTCAAGGTCACATGGTCTAAAACCATAGTGTATTTAAAAAGGTCTTACCACAGGTTTTTGAAAATTAGGTCAAACATGAAGGGAAAGGTCAAGGGGTTATAAATCTTAGCATGCTTGGAAATATTTTGTAACAGGTAATACACATATCAAATATGAAATCCATTTCTCTTCTTAATCAAAAGATATAAGGAAAAAATAACCTTTTTTTTTATCAAGGATAAAGTTTTTGAAAGGAGATCAAAGGTCAAGGTCACAAGGTCAAAAATCTCAATGTACGTATTTAGAAAAGTCTTGTCAGAAGTAATACACATTTTTAATATATTAAAGTCCTATCTCTTCTCATTCAAAAGTTAGAGCCAATTTAAAGTAATAATCACATTTTTGAAATGTAAGTCAAATTTCAAGGTCAAAGGTCAAAAATCATAGTGTATTTAGAAAGATCTTCTCACAGGTAATGCACATTTGTAAAATTTAAATCCCATCTCATCTCATTCAAAAAATATGACCAAGGTTTAAGTTTTTGTGACAGACGGATGGACAGATGAATAAGATTTAATGTCTCCATGCTTTTGTTAAAGTGGGGGACAAAAAAGCCTAAAAATAAATTAAAACTACATCTTTCCATTAATGAGTCTTTCAAATCAACAGTATAAATGTTGCAAAATATTTATTTGCAGAAATTATAATACAGAGATAAACACTGATAAAATAAAGTAACCTCTGACAAGACCTTCCTAAATACACTATGGTTTTTGACCGTGTGACCTTGAAGTTTGAACTACTTTTCAAAAACTTGAATCTTGGTCATTATTTTTGAATGAGAAGAGATAGAGCTTTCACATCTCACATGTGTATTACCTGTGACAAGACCTTTCTCAATACACTATGATTTTTGATCCCATTATCTTGACCTTGAAGTTTGACCTACTGTTCAAACATGTTATTTATCATTATAACTTTTGATCGAGAAGAGATAGGCCTAAAATGATTATCAAACCCTGTGAGTTGATGTCTCTAAGCCCTGGAATATATTGACTCAAAGATCACAATTATAGTGTAATTCAGTATATCAAAAAAGTGGGTTCTGGGCCCTTGGGCCTCTTGTTGCATATTTTAGCACAGAGAGAAAGAGAGAGAAAATGCATTTGAGAATGCTTATAGGTCATACTCCAAGATTTTCTATGTTTAGCGTCCACAGACGGATTGGTTTAAATAAACTGTTTTTGAGTTGTGAAGTTTAAAAAAAGTTAAATAAAATCAACAAATACATTTAAATCTTTGACACACAATTTACACTAATTGGATTGGCATTTCTATTTTTGTTACTGATGTACCCTTTTTTTTTATTTCAATCTTTCAATTAACTAGTAGATTATGTTTGTTACAATGATTGAGAATTCACAAATGATGATGAGAAATTCTGAAATTATGCTTTAAATGATTTGTTTTTTCCCACTTCAGTTTGTGTGTTTGCTCTGGAGAGATAGGTTTTCAAATTAAGGGTGGATGCTAAACATAGAAACATTTTGGAATGGCCTTAACAGAGAAACATATTTACAACATAAACTTTCTTCAAGAAGCAATAATTAAAAAATCAGGAACCTGTACATGAGCTTCTGATAGGAAAACCATTTGTTTCTTGTGTTTTTTTTTTGTTAAACATCTTAAATGTTTTAGATTTTGGTCAAACCTTTAATAAACTGTATTTATTACAGAAATTGACCCCCCAACAGTTAGCACAAACACTGATGCCCATCCAGAGTTGCATCTTGGGAAGGGTGAAGATATGGATATCAGCATTGATGGGGAGGATTGTCTGGCCAAAAAAACATTCAGGCAGTTCTCTGGCAAAAAAGTGGGTAACTTAGGGGGTTTAAAACTTTGTTTTTGAAATATTTCATCAATTTTCATGAAATCGTACTTTAAAAAAAAAAGAAATATTTGCAAAACTGTTGTTTTGCTTAATATTAATTCCAAATAGTTGTTTCACAAAAATATTGTGTCACAAGGTTTTACTTATAGTATAACATAACATACTAGTTGCGTAGTTTGCTGTATATGAGCTCTACTGACTGTATTATAATTGTAGGGGAGCCTGACGGCAGATGAGGAGGCGGCCTTGATGTCAGCCTACCATTACGAGAGAGCCACCACCAATATTCATCCTTACTTATCCTCCATGGTTAACTATGCTCAGCCCGTCAAATTTCAGGGCTTCAAAGTAGCAGAAGGTAGGCTTAAATTCATAGAGATATAATACATGTAGATCAACCCCTCTCTTAAAAAGGCCTTGAAAACTTTTTTTGGACTTTAAAAGTTGTCATTGTAATAGGATATATTTTTTTTCCCTTGAAAACTTCTTTTCTTTATTTTTCAGAGCAAAATATTCATTATCACATGTCATCCTTCAATGAAAATGTGGGACTACAATACCTCAAATCTCAGGCCATTGAGCTTGTCAAGTATCCTTATTTACGAATCGCAGAGATGGACGAAGCATTTTATAGTAACGTGTACTAGGGTTGTTAGAAAAGTTTGATTAACATGATCACAATGATTTATGGAAATTATATTGTATACTTTGAAGAATAATGTACGTCTAATTAAATTATCTTTTATTAGCATACTAAAAATCAGATCCGTTTACTGAATATTTAGAAATGAATTTTTCTGTGCAGTCATAAGATTCACTGAGAAATCACTTGACACTTTATGATGTTAGGTGACGTGACAACCTGATTCAAGACCAGTGAAGCTTTTTCACAAGTTTGACATATCTTTTATTTCTGAAGACTTTTCTTGTCTTTTTCTAACTTTTTTCTTACTAAATTAACTATATCAAGACATGTTACATTTTTTCCTAAAATGTCTTTTGTGATGAATCGGGTATTGGTGAGATCTTACAAACAATGTCTACGTAGTTCAGTGATCTGAAAAGCAATGCAAAATTCATTGGTGCAGCATCCATGCAATAAGCATGATATTGAAGAATTGCAGGAGTTGATATAAAAAAAGCCAGTCTTCCCATTCTTACAAAGTTGCTACATGTACCACTTGAACACTTTGGTACTAGATACATGCAGGCAAGAGCATCTAATAACTCAGTCATTTTCGGGCATTTTTCTGTCTGTAAAGATTTTTTTTTTAAAAGCTTAGTACTCCCATATGTTAATTGACGTCTTTAATTTTTGCTTTGTTTTCTATGCATTGATCATCTATGATTAAGGATAGAACAGTCATAACTCCTCCAATTGAATTCAAATTTTGCTAATTGACATATAATTTATTTATTTTAGTAAATTACATTGTTTATTAAAATGTTGTCTAATCATGCTAATAGATAGTTTTCAGTAAACCCAATTTAACAGGAGTTATTTCCCATTGGCTGCCGTAGTGGAAGTCAACATGCTTATATTCCTTCATTATTGGAAGGATTCCAATAAGGAATCATTGCATTGAAGGAAGCATTGTTTTTCTGAAAAATATGCATTTTTAGCTCACCTCAACGTAGTTGGGGGGAGCTTATGTGATACCCTCGGCGTCGGTGTCGGCGTCGGCGTCCCGGGTTAAGGTTAAGTTTTTTGGAGCAGTTTTCTTTTTAAGTACTTCTGTGTCCTATATTGATTAGACATGCATGGAAGATGTTTCTAGTGTGTTTCATTGTACCAGTCAAAGTTTCAGATGCTGCAATTTCAGCAAAGGAATGACCAGGTTAATGTTTTTGGAGCAGGTTAACATTTTTGGTGCAGTTTTTGGTGTAGGTCTCATTTCCGAGTAACTATAAGCCCTATGTTGACCAAACTTACCTGGATGGTACATCTTACGATGCATACTACCAGACTTGCTTCGGATGCTGAATCTGACCTACATTTTCCGGTTGAGTGAACAGGTTAAAGTTTTTGGAGCAGGTTTCATTTCGAAGATACTACGAGCCCTATAATGACCAAACTTGCATGGATGGTACATCTTAGGGTGCATTCTGCTAGACTTGCTTTGGATGCTGAATCTGACCTACATTTTCCGGTTGAGTGAACAGGTTAAAGTTTTTGGTGCAGGTTTCATTTCCAAGATACTATGAGACATATAATGACCAAACTTGCATGGATGGTACATCGAAGGATGCATACTACCAGTCTTGCTTCGGATGCTGAATCTGACCTACATTTTATGGTTGAGTGAACAGGTTAAAGTTTTTGGTGCAGGTTTCATTTCCAAGGTACTATGAACCCTATAATGACTAAACTTGCATGGATAGTACATCTTAGGATGAATATTACAAGACTTGCTTCGGATGCTGAACCTGACCTACATTTTATGGTTGAGTGAACAGGTTAAAGTTTTGGTGCAGGTTTCATTTCCAAGGTACTATGAACCCTATAATGACTAAACTTGCATGGATGGTACATCTTAGGATGCATACTACCAGACTTGCTTCGGATGCTGAATCTGACCTACATTTTCCGTTTGAGTGAACAGGTTAAAATTTTTGGTGCAGGTTTCATTTCCAAGGTACTATGAACCCTATAATGACTAAACTTGCATGGATGGTACATCTTAGGATGCATACTACCAGACTAGCTTCGGATGCTGAATTTGACCTACATTTTCTGGACGAGTAAACAGGTTAAAGTTTATGGTGCAGGATTCATTTCCAAGTAACTTTGAGCTCTATAATGACCAAACTTGCATGGATGGTACATCTAAGGGTGCATTCTACTAGGCTGGCTTCAGAAGCTGAATCTGACCTACATTTTCAGGATTAGTGAAAAGGTTAGTTTTTTATACAGGTTTCATTTCCAAGTAACTTTGAGCTCTATGTTGAACAAACTTGCATGGATGATACATCTTAGGGTGCACACTAATGGACTTGCTTCAGATGCTGAATTTGACATACATTTTCCAGATAATAGACCTCGTAAAAGTTATGGGTGCAGGCCTTTCACGAAGAAACTATAAGGCTTATATAAACCAAAGTTGCACAAATGATGCATCAAGGGATGAAAACTCTCAATCTTGCTTCAGATGCTGGATTTTAATTACATTTTCATGATGAAGAACAAGTTTGAAGTTTTATAGATCTATTCCAAAGTATCAAAATCAAAATTGCATAAATTTTGCATTTTTGGATGTACACTTTTTGTTGGTTAATTGTGTGACTTAATTTGCTTTACTTAAAGACAACATTCATTGAGGTGAGCTCTGTAATCTCTGATTACCTATGTTTTAGATCTTCCTTAAATTCATAATTTTTATACTGTGAAGATTTTCCCCCAAATATTTCTGCTACACCCTCTTAAATTTGAAAGGACAAAGAGGAAAAAATTACCGGGTTGACATGAAGATGGCGGCCAAGGGAAATAACTTGGAGAGAAAATTATGTCATATGAAAACTACCTATTTGGAATGTTGCCAAATTCTCCCAATTTCTATGGAACCAGTGGTGTCTGGTTTGAACAAATTTTCTGTAATTATTAATTCATAATTAGCAATTACATTATAAAATTGATCTGTTTATAAATGTTTTGATGTAGAATTTTTAAGATTAAAAAAATTGATATGTGTTTCTTTGGGGAAAAAATCCTTAATCCTGTTCAGCTACAATAAACGCCAAATGAGTCGAATCTATCCAAGGGGTGGTCGAGTAGATTCCAGTAATTACATGCCACAGGTGAATATGGATTCTGGATATTTATTTGAAAGTTAAATTTTCATGTCACTAGGGCTGTTTTATAATTATCATAGGTACACATTATTCTGAAGTAAATTATATATGCCGTGTGTTTAATGAGAAATTTGAGGGTTTTTTTTTTTGCTCTGATTTAAAGCTATTCTGGAATGCTGGATGTCAGATGGTAGCACTTAACTTCCAAACATCAGATCTAGCCATGCAACTTAATCAGGGAAAGTTTGAGTACAATGGAAACTGTGGGTGAGAATCAGTTGTGTAAAGTGTCTGTTTAAGTGTTATTTCTTTGCTTTTTATTTTAGGCCCCACAAAGATTTACTGTTGTCCTTATTGACTTATAGTTGATTGAGCTGTCATTCTGTTGATCCATGTTAACTTTAAGAATCCACAGTTTTATGGACTTTTATAGCAATCAGTTATACATTGGGATGCATAGGATAGTCTTTGAAAATCTGTATTTTTCTTGCTGTAGGTATTTACTGAAGCCCGATTTCATGAGGAGACCCGACAGAAACTTTGATCCGTTCCTGGAGAGCACTGTGGATGGTATCATTCCAGCTCAGTGTTCAGTACAGGTACCACAATCAGGGGCACTACATCAGCTGAGTCAGCACTGTCATTTAGATTACCACAATCAGGGGCACAATCAAAACATCAGCTGAGTCAGCACTGTCATTTAGATTACCACAATCAAGGGCACTACATCAACTGAGTCAGCACTGTCATTTAGATTACCACAATCAAGGACACAATCAAAATATCAGCTGAGTCAGCACTGTCATTTAGATTACCACAATCAAGGACACAATCAAAACATCAGCTGAGTCAGCACTGTCATTTAGATTACCACAATCAAGGACACAATCAAAAGATCAGCTGAGTCAGCACTGTCATTTAGATTACCACAATCAAGGACACAATCAAAACATCAGCTGAGTCAGCACTGTCATTTAGATTACCACAATCAAGGACACAATCAAAACATCAGCTGAGTCAGCACTGTCATTTAGATTACCACAATCAGGGGCACTACATCAACTGAGTCAGCACTGTCATTTAGATTACCACAATCAAGGACACAATCAAAACATCAGCTGAGTCAGTGCTGTCATTTAGATTACCACAATCAGGGGCACTACATCAACTGAGTCAGCACTGTCATTTAGATTACCACAATCAAGGACACAATCAAAACATCAGCTGAGTCAGCACTGTCATTTAGATTACCACAATCAAGGACACAATCAAAACATCAGCTGAGTCAGCACTGTCATTTAGATTACCACAATCAAGGACACAATCAAAACATCAGCTGAGTCAGTGCTGTCAGTTAGATTACCACAATCTAGGACACAATCAAAACATCAGCTGAGTCAGCACTGTCATTTAGATTACCACAATCAGGGGCACTACATCAACTGAGTCAGCACTGTCATTTAGATTACCACAATCAAGGACACAATCAAAACATCAGCTGAGTCAGCACTGTCATTTAGATTACCACAATCAAGGACACAATCAAAACATCAGCTGAGTCAGCACTGTCATTTAGATTACCACAATCTAGGACACAATCAAAACATCAGCTGAGTCAGCACTGTCATTTAGATTACCACAATCAGGGGCACAATCAAAACATCAGCTGAGTCAGCACTGTCATTTAGATTACCACAATCAGGGGCACAATCAAAACATCAGCTGAGTCAGCACTGTCATTTAGATAACCACAATCAAGGGCACTACATCAACTGAGTCAGCACTGTCATTTAGATTACCACAATCAAGGACACAATCAAAATATCAGCTGAGTCAGCACTGTCATTTAGATTACCACAATCAAGGACACAATCAAAACATCAGCTGAGTCAGCACTGTCATTTAGATTACCACAATCAGGGGCACTACATCAACTGAGTCAGCACTGTCATTTAGATTACCACAATCAAGGACACAATCAAAACATCAGCTGAGTCAGCACTGTCATTTAGATTACCACAATCAAGGACACAATCAAAACATCAGCCGAGTCAGCACTGTCATTTAGATTACCACAATCAAGGACACAATCAAAACATCAGCTGAGTCAGCACTGTCATTTAGATTACCACAATCAGGGGCACTACATCAAGTGAGTCAGCACTGTCATTTAGATTACCACAATCAAGGACACAATCAAAACATCAGCTGAGTCAGCACTGTCATTTAGATTACCACAATCAAGGACACAATCAAAACATCAGCTGAGTCAGCACTGTCATTTAGATTACCACAATCTAGGACACAATCAAAACATCAGCTGAGTCAGCACTGTCATTTAGATTACCACAATCAGGGGCACAATCAAAACATCAGCTGAGTCAGCACTGTCATGTAGATTACCACAATCAGGGGCACAATCAAAACATCAGCTGAGTCAGCACTGTCATTTAGATAACCACAATCAAGGGCACAATCAAAACATCAGCTGAGTCAGCACTGTCATTTAGATTACCACAATCAAGAACACAATCAAAATATCAGCTGAGTCAGTGCTGTCAGTTAGATTACCACAATCAGGGGCACAATCAAAACATCAGCTGAGTCAGCACTGTCATTTAGATTACCACAATCAAGGACACAATCAAAACATCAGCTGAGTCAGTGCTGTCAGTTAGATTACCACAATCAAGGGCACTACATCAACTGAGTCAGCACTGTCATTTAGATTACCACAATCAGGGGCACAATCAAAACATCAGCTGAGTCAGCACTGTCATTTAGATTACCACAATCAGGGGCACAATCAAAACATCAGCTGAGTCAGCACTGTCATTTAGATAACCACAATCAAGGGCACTACATCAACTGAGTCAGCACTGTCATTTAGATTACCACAATCAAGGACACAATCAAAATATCAGCTGAGTCAGCACTGTCATTTAGATTACCACAATCAAGGACACAATCAAAACATCAGCTGAGTCAGCACTGTCATTTAGATTACCACAATCAGGGGCACTACATCAACTGAGTCAGCACTGTCATTTAGATTACCACAATCAAGGACACAATCAAAACATCAGCTGAGTCAGCACTGTCATTTAGATTACCACAATCAAGGACACAATCAAAACATCAGCTGAGTCAGCACTGTCATTTAGATTACCACAATCAAGGACACAATCAAAACATCAGCTGAGTCAGCACTGTCATTTAGATTACCACAATCAGGGGCACTACATCAAGTGAGTCAGCACTGTCATTTAGATTACCACAATCAAGGACACAATCAAAACATCAGCTGAGTCAGCACTGTCATTTAGATTACCACAATCAAGGACACAATCAAAACATCAGCTGAGTCAGCACTGTCATTTAGATTACCACAATCTAGGACACAATCAAAACATCAGCTGAGTCAGCACTGTCATTTAGATTACCACAATCAGGGGCACAATCAAAACATCAGCTGAGTCAGCACTGTCATTTAGATTACCACAATCAGGGGCACAATCAAAACATCAGCTGAGTCAGCACTGTCATTTAGATAACCACAATCAAGGGCACTACATCAACTGAGTCAGCACTGTCATTTAGATTACCACAATCAAGGACACAATCAAAATATCAGCTGAGTCAGTGCTGTCAGTTAGATTACCACAATCAGGGGCACAATCAAAAGATCAGCTGAGTCAGCACTGTCATTTAGATAACCACAATCAAGGGCACTACATCAACTGAGTCAGCACTGTCATTTAGATTACCACAATCAAGGACACAATCAAAACATCAGCTGAGTCAGTGCTGTCAGTTAGATTACCACAATCAAGGACACAATCAAAACATCAGCTGAGTCAGCACTGTCATTTAGATTACCACAATCAGGGGCACTACATCAACTGAGTCAGCACTGTCATTTAGATTACCACAATCAGGGGCACTACATCAACTGAGTCAGCACTGTCATTTAGATAACCACAATCAGGGGCACTACATCAACTGAGTCAGCACTGTCATTTAGATTACCACAATCAGGGGCACTACATCAACTGAGTCAGCACTGTCATTTAGATAACCACAATCAAGGGCACTACATCAACTGAGTCAGCACTGTCATTTAGATAACCACAATCAGGGGCACTACATCAACTGAGTCAGCACTGTCATTTAGATAACCACAATCAGGGGCACTACATCAACTGAGTCAGCACTGTCATTTAGATTACCACAATCAGGGGCACTACATCAACTGAGTCAGCACTGTCATTTAGATAACCACAATCAAGGGCACTACATCAACTGAGTCAGCACTGTCATTTAGATTACCACAATCAAGGACACAATCAAAACATCAGCTGAGTCAGTGCTGTCAGTTAGATTACCACAATCAAGGACACAATCAAAACATCAACTGAGTCAGCACTGTCATTTAGATTACCACAATCAAGGACACAATCAAAAGATCAGCTGAGTCAGCACTGTCATTTAGATAACCACAATCAAGGGCACAATCAAAACATCAGCTGAGTCAGCACTGTCAGTTAGATTACCACAATCAAGGACACAATCAAAAGATCAGCTGAGTCAGCACTGTCATTTAGATAACCACAATCAAGGGCACTACATCAACTGAGTCAGCACTGTCATTTAGATTACCACAATCAGGGGCACAATCAAAACATCAGCTGAGTCAGTGCTGTCAGTTAGATTACCACAATCAGGGGCACAATCAAAACATCAGCTGAGTCAGCACTGTCATTTAGATTACCACAATCAGGGGCACAATCAAAACATCAGCTGAGTCAGCACTGTCATTTGCATTACCTTACCTGAATTTCTGACTACATTCTGTCTCTTTTTCTGCAAATGTTTAATGTTTTGAACTTGTCAGAGAAACAGGGCCAATTTCAACACTTGCCACAAATATATTGGGTAAAGGAAATTCAAATTTGTTCAGCTGTGGTCTTTTAAGAGGAATAAATAAAAAATTCAAGAAAAATATTGAAAGCCTAGGGCAATTGCTGCCTCAGAAAAAATTAAACCCTAGCTATATGAGAGATTAATGTTATTGTTTAAATTCAGTCTTGGTTAGATCATTGATTTGGAATACCAAATGACCAAAGTAAGAGTTTAAAGGTTTACAAACTGTAGGCAAATTTATTTTCCTTGTGGATGAAATTTTATATTTTATTTCTGGGATCAGAAAACAAAGAAATTAAATCAGTTCATTTAAAATATTTGTTGTTCTTTATGAAAAAATATTCTCCATGAAAAGTTTCCACTTTTTGTAAAATAACATATTCTCTTTGTCTGATTTTTATATGAGCCAATACATCTTTTTTTTCTTACATTTGCTGACTTAATTGTATAAAAGCGGGTCATTCTCTGGCCTGATTGTAAAGGTTAGTGTTGAGACAACATGTCTAGATACCAATGGCTTGTGAACACACACAGTCTATACAGAATTGTAAAATTCACAATACAGAATTCCAGATAGGTCTATAAGGTTGATCGTGACATCATGTTAAAAATAAGTTCTTGACATTCAGGGGACCTTCAAGTCCTGTGAAATTTTTAATCTTGCAATTTTCTGAATATTAATTTGGTATGAATAATTCCTTAAACATTTGTTTAGATCATCTCTGGTCAGTTTCTGTCTGACAAGAAAGTTGGGACCTATGTAGAAGTAGACATGTATGGACTGGCCACCGACACAATCAGGAAAGAGATGCGCACTAAAGTGGTGCCAGCAAATGGACTCAACCCTGTGTATAATGAGGAAAAATTTGTGTTCAGAAAGGTAAAGGAAGCACACCAGATCAGAAGTAAATTTATCAAAGTTTGAATGAATTCAAATAAATCTTACATCAAAATGTTTAAAAAGGGATGGATATAAAGTGATTTGGATGTCAATCCTTCCATACTTCTGTAACAGTTCAGGGTATTTTTTTATCTAGAAACTGTCATTATTTTCTGTAGCACAGGTAAAACTACCGGTATGTCTTATCCAAAACTTTTATATCATGTCTATACCACTGAATAAAATTAAGATTTTTACAAAAATCTATATTGCATAATGGTATTGTTTATTTTATTCTTTATGAAATTAGTACATGCTCCAATGTATCGACACCTTCATAATCCAGACATGACTTTTGCTGTGACAGGTAGTGTTACCAGATTTAGCTGTCCTGAGAATAGCAGTTTATGAAGACACAGGCAAACTGATCGGTCAGCGCATCCTGCCACTGGACGGGTTACAGTCCGGCTATAGATACATCTCATTACGAACCGAGGGAAACTTCCCACTGTCACTACCTACCATCTTCTGTAGGATCATCCTGGAGACCTACATACCGGAAGAAGTGGGAAGTAAGTGTAGCAGTAACAAAGGGTTTCAGATGCTGGAAAATAAAATGGTTCATATTTAGCTCACCTTGGCCAGAGGTTTGAGTAAACTTTTCTAATCAAAGAGTGTTCAGTAACTATTATCTGTAAGTTTCATTTTCTGTTGTGTTTTGTCTAAGCTTTCAAAGTTTTAACCTCTTCTATCGGCCACTAGACCACATTCAACAAAAGTTGTCATAAATTTAAGTGCCCTCAGGTGAAAGAGATTCAATATTGTTCAAGTTATTGGTCATATTTTATTTCAAAAGGGGATAAATGGTGAAAAGTAATATTTTAGTCACTGAAAAAACTATAAGTAAAAAGTTGCAATGAGCAAAAGCAATCTTCACAATTTTTCATTTTCATATTTCTTTAAAAATCTTCTTTGCTTTAGGCCAAAAGGCTGCTAAGTTCCCAATCTTCCAGGCCCAGTCCCTTCACAAACTGTGGTGTGAAAGCCCTTTAGTTTTAATTTCAAATTAAGGATCTTAGAATATGGAAGGTCAGAGTAAAGCTGAAATTGGGAAGCAATGTCTACTTCTGCTAGACAGAATCACCATGATTGTCATAGATTTTGCAAATGAAGTTGTTTTGTAACACCTTGAGACTAGGATTGGACCCCTGTATGGCATACAAATTTTTCATGGAAATAAAGAGGGAAAATCATTTTTTTTTTATTGTGCATTGAGTCTCAAGATGTGTCAGGTGAGTGTTGTGGTTGATGTGGCCTTTAAAGGAGCAATCAAAATATTCTCCCCAGGGCTTTTGAAACAGAGATCATTAATGAAGTTAATGTTCTTGTGATTTCAGTATTGGCTGACATTTTGGCCAATCCTCAAGACAAGAAACAGAGAATGTTTGACAAGTTTGGTTACGACAGCGATTCCATTTCTGATGCCCCAGTGCTTCCAAAAAATGTTAGTAAAGCAGAGTTGAAACCAAGCACAAATGGTCAACTGGCCCTTAATTCAAACAACCAACAAGCAAAAGTGAAAGATGAAAAGAAAGGTGAGAAATTTATTAAATTTATTCAGGTCTGTTTGCAAATTCTGGAACATTAAAGCAATTTGAGCTGCAACTTTGATGTTGGATTTTTTGTTGTTGCAAAATTGTAAATAACTATTTGAATGACAGAAAAAATAACGTTAATAAACTTCTACTCTTCATATTTGCATTGGAAGAACTATTAATAACCTTTGATTGAATCAAAATCACATTATTGTCACCCTGTACAATAATGATTTCTTACATATAAAACTGTATATTGGATTGTATATAGAAGTCTTTCTTCTGCTTTATTTTAGTCTAATTGCATGATAATAAAGGTTTAAGTTACATACAAATTTATTGTAATAACACATTTTAACAGCAAAATAAAATTTTCAAAAATGCATCTCATATTTCTTTAAGTTTTTCAGTAGTTTCGATTTTGCATCCAATATCCAACTTAATTTAAAGTTGCAAAGAATTTTATCATTGTTGTTGAAAGATATATACACTGAAGGGATTGTTGTTGAAAGACATACACTGAAGGGAAAAAGAAATGCAAGATCAATTTTTTTATTCCATGTTTACCCCTATATCCCGTGGATATGACTCATTGGATATTTTTTAATATAATTTAACCCACAGATGTGATGTACATCACAATGCATTTTGCGATAGAGTAATAAAAATTCTACACGAAAACAGGGTAAAAATTGATAGTTATGTATAAAACATATGGGATAAAAAAGAACCTTCCATCAATTGTAGTTTGATATCATCTTTGTCCAACTCTTATATGTTTTATCCCCTCGCCAAGGCTCGGGGAGAAAGAAATAAACAACTCGGATAAAAATCATATTCAACAACAAATCATGGGAGATCCTATCTTTATCTCATAGTATGATGGGTACTACCTATAAAAATATAGATTATCAAATGACATTGCAAAACATGTTGACAAGCTGCTTAGCTTTAAAGGTGCAAGTGTTGTAGAAAATTGAGTAAAATCTTTATTTGTTTATTAACTTCTATCTATTGCTATCATTACAGATGATTTAAATTTCCCAACCCTTACAAGGGAAAGTGTGAAGTCAGATAAACTCTTTCAGAAGTTGACAAAGAAACAACAAAAAGAACTACAGTTAATGAAAAAGAAGCATCAGAAGGAAAAATCGGCCATGCATAAACAACATTGCTTAGTTGTTGATAAAATTGTGATCACACAAGACAAAAAGTTAAATGCCATGGAGAAAAATAAGAATAAGGGGTTAGTATAAGATTCATTATCTTTAGATTTTAAATGAATAAAAGGGTTTAAAACACAACATGAAAATTAGATACAATTGACTTGGATATTTTTTACTCCTTTTTTCAGAGATGTCACAGATTCCAAAGTGCTGGTTGATGATCATAAAACAGAAGTAAGTGTCAGATACTGTCAGATCAAATCTTCACAGATGTTTAGTTATAACCAAGTATTATTATAAAGATATGTTATTTTTAACTAACAAAACAGAATTTTGTAAAAGCTGGAAGCAGGGCACAAATTTCATTTGTATTCACTGAGGAATAATAAAAACAGAATGGTGAAAAGTTAAGAGAAGAAAATTACATTATTTTATTTTAATCAGATTTCAGAGATGGTTACAAAGCATACCAAGGAGTGGTCAGACATTTCTCTTAGACAGATAAAAGAAGAACATGATCTCCTTAAGGAACATGTAGTCCAACAGAATGTCCTACTAAAGAAACTGTTTGAAGCAGCTCAACAAGTACAGATCAAAGAACAGGAGGTGCTAAATGACAGGTCAGACTCGCTCACTCAGAAACTCAACCTTGTATAAGTATTGGACTCGATTGTCTTATATAGTAGTGTCAATAAGTACATAAGAGCAGGAGGTGCTAAATGACAGGTCAGACTCGCTCAATCAGAAACTCAACCCTGTATAAGTATTGGACTCGATTGTCTTATATAGTAGTGTCAATAAGTACATAAGAGCAGGAGGTGCTAAATGACAGGTCAGACTCACTCACTCAGAAACTCAACCCTGTATAAGTATTGGACTCGATTGTCTTATAAAGTAGTGTCAATAAGTACATAAGAGCAGGAGGTGCTAAATGATGACAGGTCATATGTTATATAGTAGTGTCAATAAGTACATAAGAGCAGGAGGTAAGTAGTTATATAGTGTCAATAAGTACATAAGAGCAGGAGGAGCTAAATGACAGGTTAGACTCACTCACTCAGAAACTCAACCCTGTATAAGTATTGGACTCGATTGTCTTATATAGTAGAGTCAATAAGTACATAAGAGCAGCAGGTGCTAAATGACTGGTTAGACTCACTCAATCAGAAACTCAACCTTATATAAGTATTGGACTCGATTGTCTTATATAGTAGAGTCAATAAGTACATAAGAGCAGGAGGTGCTAAATGACAGGTCAGACTCGCTCAATCAGAAACTCAACCCTGTATAAGTATTGGACTCGATTGTCTTATATAGTAGTGTCAATAAGTACATAAGAGCAGGAGGTGCTAAATGACAGGTCAGACTCACTCAATCAGAAACTCAACCTTGTATAAGTATTGGACTCAATTGTCTTATATAGTAGAGTCAATTAGTACATAAGAGCAGGAGGTGCTAAATGACAGGTTAGACTCACTCAATCAGAAACTCAACCTTGTATAAGTATTGGACTCGATTGTCTTATATAGTAGTGTCAATAAGTACATAAGAGCAGGAGGTGCTAAATGACAGGTTAGACTCACTCAATCAGAAACTCAACCTTATATAAGTATTGGACTCGATTGTCCTATATAGTAGAGTCAATAAGTACATAAGAGCAGGAGGTGCTAAATGACAGGTCAGACTCACTCACTCAGAAACTCAACCTTGTATAAGTATTGGACTCGATTGTCTTACATAGTAGTGTCAATAAGTACATAAGAGCAGGAGGTGCTAAATGACAGGTTAGACTCACTCACTGATACACAGACTAAAACTTCTCTATGTATAGGACTCAGTTATTTTTTTATATTAAAGACTCAATGGAATAGTTTGGAAACTTTTCGGCTCAAAATTTTTCATTAAAAAAATCTTTTTTGTCTTCTTCTCCTTCAGATCTATGGAGACAATGCTGAAAACCAACTTTTATTCGCGATGACTTTATTTCGCGATTTACCGGTGGGGATAAACTAGTTTGCGACAATCGATTTTCGTGATCAAGCCCATTTTGGATCTGTTGTTAATATAGGCACAAAGACTTTAAGGACTGGTTCGTGGCAAGAAATATTCATGATGACGGAGCTCTTGCAAAAATTTCTCGCACACGAATAAAAGTTGGTTTATAGTAAATTTTTATTAAAGTGTAAAATAACTTTGTGGGTGTCACAGATTTGTGTGTGGTGGCCACAGGGAGCTTTTGATTACAAATGCTTGACATGTTGAAGCATAATTTTTGGATATACACTTTACTTGCTTTTAATTTTTATTTTCTTGTTGTTTGTTAATTAGAGAGGAGAAAGAATTAACAATAAAACAGTCCAAACAGTCCATGGAGTCCAGTAAAGCTGTGATGAATGATAAGACAATCAAAGCCAAGGCAGAGAGGGAGAGGTCAGTGATGTATCTGTGTTCTACTCTTTATTGGAGTGAGCATCTCTACTATAAAGAAAAATATTTGCCCTGAATTTAAAGATAAAAAAACACAATTAAAAGTCATTTTTAGACACTGAATATCATTAACACAGGCATTTATTTAGTTCACATTCATATAAATGTGGACTTAAGTTTCTCCTTGAACAAATTATTCATATTACAAATGGTATGGTGAGAATTAGATTAATTTCATTTCTTTTCTCTTTTTAGGAGGATTAAAGAAATAAGTGAAAATAACATCAAAAGGTTCACAGATGAACGTAAGAGGTTGAAAATTAGGCAGTCAAAGCAGATAGAGAAGTTATTTCAGAAACATCAACAAATGATGGAGAAGTTCATGCAGGAATGCACAAAAGTAATGTTGGAGTGTCCTCTTAATCCCTATCAATTTTTGTAATGAATGTACATTAACATTGAGCCCAGTGAAAATGATTCTCTTTTATACTGATTTTAATTTTTTTGAAATTCAAATATTATTTATCAACTAAACACCAAAGAAATCATGCAGTTCAAACTACAAAAAAGTTCTTATTTATGAAGACTAATGTGCAATTTATCAGAAGAGTGATTTTAGAGCTCTTGTTACATTGTGATGCCTGAGTATAAATATTCAGTTGGACTTTTGTACAGGAGGTAGAGAAAGTGGAGATGATGTTTGAGGAGGTAAAGCTTGCAGCACGTCCAGAGACCGATGTCTGATTAGGAGGGGAAAAGTCAAGATCTGTAAGGTAATTAGGCCTAAGGAATTCTATCCTTAATTTATCATCTGCTCACTTAAGCATTCACCTGAGCTGAGGGCTCAAGTGAACTTTTCTGCTCACCCGTTGTCTGCCATCTGTCCGTCTGTCCCTCCATCTGTAAACTTTTCACATTTTCAACTTCTTCTCAAGAACCACTAGGCCAATTTTAACCAAACTTGGAACAAAGCATCCATGGGTAGAGGGGATTTTAAATTGTTAAAAATAAAGGGCCAAGTCCCCTCACAAGGGGAGATAATCAAGAAAAGACAAAAATTAGGTGGAATCATTAAAAAATCTCCCCAAGAACTACTGGGCCAAAAAAGTTGAAACTTATGTGGAAGCATCTAGGAGTAGTGTGGATTCTAAATCGTTGAAATCATGACCCCTGGGGGTAGGGTGGGGCCACAATAGGGAATCCAACTTTTACGTTGAAATACATAGGGAAAATCTTGAAAAATCTTCTCAAGAACCACTGAGCCAGAAAAGTTGAAACTCATGTGGAAGCACCTGAGGTAGTGTAGAATATAAATTGCTAAAATCTTGACCTCCTGGGGTAGGACGGGGCCACAATAGGGAATCCAAGTTTTACATTGAATTGTTATTTTGACCTCCGGGGGTAGGGTGGGGCCACAATAGGGAATCTAAGTTTAACATTGAAATAAATAGGAAAAATCTTTTAAAAAAACTTCTTCTCAAGAACTACTGACCCGTAAAAGCTGAAACTTATTTGGAAGAATCCTGTGGAAGTGTAGATTCTAAATTGTTCAAATCATGACCCCTGGAGGTGTGGTGGGAGGGGGGGGGGGGGGAGGGGGCACAAGGAGGGAAATCTTGCATCATCAAAGTTACTCAGCTGAGCAATGGGGCTTATGGCCTGTTGTGTTTTTTATGCCCCTCTGAAAAAGAGGTTAAAATATGTATCATATGGAAAGACTTTGCCTGTTTCATATTTTAGAATTTGGTAGACAAACATTTAACTAGGTACATTGGTTTCCCCTGAGGAGTTGAGGAGAGTTCCCCTAAAGGGGTGAATGACTCCATTGATTTCGATTGATTTTGTTTCACAAGGTCACAGTAAAATAGAGAATTATGCTCCAAATCATGCAAAAGGTCTTTATCTCAGTGCTGAGTACTGAGCTTTAAGTTGGGAGAAAAGTAGACAAAAAATCAATAATTGCCAACTGAAGAATATGCAGATGGCATGACTCCTTATTACACTTGTGGTTAAAATGGACCCAAAGACATAGATCTGGACTAAAATAGGAAAAAAAGATGAATCTTTTAGTAGAATTAGAGACTGCATTTTTGTGTGGTTTCTTTACTACATAACTTTCTTTTCTTTGTAGAGAACTGGTCTGTGACCTGATTGGCTTCATCATTGTCAGTGATTATAGTCATCCCATGTGCCAGCTTCAAATAAGCATTAATACAAAGATTGGAAATTTGTTGCCAAAGAATAAAAAGATCTTAGTTTCCCTTGTTACCTGTACTTCCATTTTCTATTGATTTACACTTACTTTTGTCTCACTGATTTTGTACATATAGGGTTGTTGAACTTATTTTTTTCTCCTTCTCTTTCATTATGTTGTTACTGCGGTGTATGTTGGGTTGATGATATGCTGTATACTTCTTCCATTGTTGACATAGAGTTATTATTTTTATAGCATTTACAATGTATGGTATTTATTATTGTGTATAGACTATATATTTAAATTTATGATTGTGTATGAGAATAATGAACTTTTTTCACTATCAATTTTAAACCTTTTACTTCTTCATGAATAAGAAAGATTTAAATTATGTTATTTATTTACTGTTATTTTATAGCTAATTTTTTAAGTATGTTTATAAGATATGTTTTCATAATTAGGTATGATTTTGTAAATAATCAACCAAGTCCTTTAGTATAATGTTTTTGAATGTGAAAAAAAAAATTTTAAACTGTAGATGAAAATTGTTCAAACAATCATGTAGGACAATGAATTTTGTCTGAAAGTCACTTAAAAATTGATCTAAAATGATACTTTGTCAATCATTGTTATTTTGCTATCTCTGCAAGCTAAGACTAGGACTACGATCATCAGTTTTTGTCAGTTGATGCATCTCAGGGCCTGAGATATGGTGTCCCAAATGCAGGTCACAGTGACCTACTTTTTGGTTTGTATTGAATGCATATCTTGGACACTCTAATGCCTTAGATAAAATCCCTGTCAGTTTAAGTTTCTTGGAGCCTCAGAGTATATGTAGACCAGAAAGTAGGTCACACTGACCACTGATGTTTAATTTCCATACTGTGAGCTTACAATACTTACGGTCTTTTGTGCAGTGTACATGTACTCTTTAAAATATGGGCCATAACTAAAGAAACACTTGGCCATTGTTGTCAAATTTGGCATAGAGTATCCTTGGCCCAAGGGCTCCTGTTTTTACTAAAACTAAGGTTTTGACCCTTGAACAAGACGACATAATTAGGAAAATAAAAGAAGCACTGGTTGCTAAAAAAAATATTTGAAAGAACCACTGGGAAAGATTATCTTCAAACTTGCACTAAAGAATGAGAATGTTTTTGAGATTAAAACTTGTTCAAGGCATCACCCTGGGGCAAAGGGATATTTGTCAATTGATGCATCTTGGGTCTTTTAAGAACGCCAACCAAATAGTAGGTCACCTTCAACTACTTTTGAACTTTTTGGCTATATTTAAATCAGGTACTTTTTGGCTTATTGATTGATGCATCCTGGGTTCTCAAGGAATGTCAACCGTTTTAAAAAGGATGTCACCCTGACCTACTTTTGAAATTTTCTGACTATAATTGAATATCTCAGGTACTTTTTCATTGGCTTGGAATCATCAAACTTTGTCAGTTGATGCATCTTTGGTCTTTGGAGAATGTCAACCAAAAAGTTGGTCACCGTAACCTACTTTCAGAATTTTATTGTTAACATCTTGAAATGAATGAGATATTTGAGTGAGAGTAAAAAAGTATAGAGGGTGATGCTTGGGCCATCTTTAAAGAAAATACTTGTTTGTACTGTTTCATCCAACTGGCTAAAAATGGCCCAGTGAAAACCTTTACTTCCAGGAAACAATAATTTTTTATGCATCATGGAAAAAGGATTCAGCTTTTCTGTGAAAAAAAAAATGTTCCACCAACCTACTGACCCATATCTTTCATTCTGAGTCAGGAGATGGCAAACAAATGCTAATTAAGTTGGCCTTGCTTAGTATTGAGCCCTCCTCAATCCCAATTTTGACCAGAGCCCAATTACTCTTTCACCAGTAAAACTGAAAACCTGTAGTTTCAAAGAATATGTCTGGATTAGAGAGTACCGTATAATCCCTATTAACCGCCCCTGGTGCTTAGAAAATTGCAAAAAGGGGGCGGTTATTTTTGTATTCTCTTTTTGATATTTAATGTCATATTTTAACTTCAAAAAATCTTTTGAAAAAAAAAATAAATACAAGGAACCACTAAAATAATGTGTAACTTTACTGAAAGTGTAGATAATCCACCCAAATTATGCTAAATTATTCATTTTCCACTGAGAAATTGGATAATAGACATGTTTCATTTTCACTTTCTTCAATTTGGTGATATGATTTTAGTTGATTTTCATCACTGTACAGGGGGTCCTTATTTCCTGACAATTGAAAAAGACCTAAGGGGGCGCTAATAGGGGTAGGGGTGGTTAATAGGGATTATACAGTATTCTAAATTACGACATTTTAAACAAAAACAAACATTTTATCAGGCAATTCAGAGTAACAACATCCATATGAGACAAGTTTCACTGTACTAGCTTTTAGAACTAGCTCTCTGTTCAAGAAAATTCAGAAAGATAAGAAGAGAGCTACAGATTCTAGCATTGTAAAAAACCTTTGATTTACTCCACTATATTTTGGTCACTCGCTTTAGATAATATTTTTTGTATTACATGTTTTTCCCTGCTTTAGAAATGTATCCGATAATTTACATTTTACTTTTATTTTTGGACAAGCGTATGTTCTTGATAGATATTTATGCAGGTTCTCCAACATTGACGATGGAATGAAAATTTGTAAACATTCCAAAAAAGTAAAGGGCTGTTTGGGACTGTGAATGGTAAATAAAGTTTCTAGAATAGTTGTGAAATGCATGTTTAATTATCAGATCTCATTCATAAAGTGGGGGAAAGCTGAAAATACAAGAAATTATACCCAAAGCAAGTGACAATAAAGGGGTGGCGTAAATAAAAGGTTTTGCAATGCTTGGATCTGTAGCTCTCATCACCAAAATATGGCACTGACAAAAAATAGCTTTGGTCTAACCCTTTATTCAATCATTTCTGTTTTTTCAGGGTACAAATATAAATCTATTCTACTCATGAAATTCTTTCTGGAAAAATGATGACAAAGTTCGTGGTCAGCTCTTCATGCTTCACATTTTGTGTGTGAATTTAACAGCTTTATTTCATCTTAGAATCTGAGATTTGGCATTTCAGAGGTAAAGTTTTCAGTGAAATGTTGTAAGTTTAAAAGTGGTCCTTGTGCCTTTTTCCTTTCAAATCATGGACTCTTACTTGGCATGGGGCCAAAAATGATCCTGAGGATCCAATTTTATGTGATGTATGTATACGAGGGGGAAAAATCCTCTCCATAAAAGATTGTCTTGATCGTACATCAGATTGATGAATTTCCCTTTTGTGCTGATATACTTGTAATCTGTAATAAACATGCTACAAGTATATGGTCCTAAACATACAGCTGAGAGGTTACTCTGACATAAGAGCCTTATATTTTAGAGCTTTTTAGGTCACGTGACCTATGCTATCCGTTATTGTCCATTGTCTTGCGTCGTCAGTTAACATTTAAACATTTTCAGCTTCTTCTCTGCAACCACTCAACCAATTTCAACCAATTTTAGCACATAGCATCTATGGATGAAGGGGAACAAAAATTGTGAATTTCATGGTCCCTGCCCCCCTGGGGCCTGAGGGGTGGGGCCAAAACCACTAAAATTAGTGCAATCTTTAAAAATCTTCTTCTTTACTCCTGGACATCAAGCAGGCAAACTGTTGGCATGAATGTAATGAGCATTGAGTCCTCTACCAAAATTGTGAAATTCATGGCCCCAGGGTAAGGGGTTCTTGTGCTAGGGCGGGGCTATATAGATTATATAGTGAAAATGCATTATTTCTTTGAAAATCTTCTCTGCTCTTGGGTATTGAGTAAACTAAGTAAGTACTTAGTTATGTTGAGCAAGAGTGCCTCTTCCAAAATTGTGAATTTTATGGCCCCAGGGTCAGGGGTTCTTGTGTCAGGGCGGGGCTCTATTGATCAAATACTATTAGTGAAAATGCATTTATTCTTTGAAAATCTTCTTCTCTGCTTCTGGGTATTACATAAACTAACTAAGTACATAGTTATGATGAGCAAGAGTGCCACTTCCATAATTATGAATTTTATGGCCCAAGGGTCAGGGATTCTGGTGTTAGGGTGAGGCTCTATTGATCATATAGTGAAAATGCATGAATTCTTTGAAAATCTTCTTCTCTGCTCCTGGGTATTAAATAAACTAATTAAGTACATACTTATGTTGAGAAAGAGTGCCTCTTCCAAAATTGTGAATTTTATGGCCCCAGGGTAAGGGGTTCTGGTGTTAGGGTGGGGCTCTATTGATCATATAGTGAAAATGCATGAATTCTTTGAAAAACTTCTTCTCTGCTCCTGGGTATTAAATAAACTAACTAAGTACATAGTTATGATGAGCAAGAGTGCCCCTTCCAAAATTGTGAATTTTATGGCCCCAGGGTCAGGGGTTCTGGTGTTGGGACGGGGCTCTATTGATTATAAAATGAAAATGCATTATTCTTTGAAAATCTTCTCTGCTTCTGGGTATTAAATAAACTAACTAAGTACATAGTTATGATGAGCAAGAGTGCCACTTCCAAAATTGTGAATTTTATGGCCCCAGGGTCAAGGGTTCTGGTATTAGGGCGGGGCTGTATTGATTATATAGTAAAAAGTGCATTAATTCTTTAAAATTTTTTCCTTAAATTTGCTCCTGGGTTATATGCCAATGACCCAAGTATATATTTATTTATGATGAAGAAAGGTGCATCTAGCAAAATGGTTATTTTTTATGCCCCCTGGGTCGGGGGGGGGGGGTTACATAGTCTGAAAATAAATTAATGTTTTGAAATCTGCTCTTCTGTAAAAATCAACAACTTTATAATAAAATTTGCAAAATGTGGCCCCAAGGTCATTGGTTCCTTTGGGGTGAGATGCATAACTGGTTAGAAAGTGGAAGTGCATTTTCTCTTTGTTACTCTGATCTACCTCTGGGTATTAAGTAAATAGAGTAAGCATGCTAAGTTTATAATTATGATATTATAAGCAATAGTGCCTCTTTCAAAATTGTGAATTGTAAATTTCATGGCCTCTGAGGTAAAACACGAACCAATTTTAATTGTTTGAAAGTTGTTACACGATACTCAGGTGACCTATAAGGCCCATGGGCCTCTTGTTTATTTCACTGTCTAGAAAGTGAAACAGACCCATTTTATTTGTTTTAATATCACTTTATTGTTATTATATATAGTCAATAGGCCTATACTAACCCCATAAGTCACATATCAAAATATAGATCTCTGTTATTTGGCACATTTCACAGAAATTCTTTCAATGACTGACTTTAAATTTTATTTTTATGTATACTTCACAAAAACAAAAAAATATTATGTATACTTCAAATAAAAATCATTGATTCAGACTCAATACACACAAAAATCATTGAGTTGTCCTTACAAGCAATACTAATTAATGCACACATAGAAATACATGTATCCGAATTTCCAAATAATTGGAAAAATTGTTTTACTGACACTAAGCAATGACTGAGATTCTTCATAACAGATAGAACACATACTCTCGTCTAAGGTAATCAAATCAATCATCTATTAGAACTAAACCAGCAATAAATATTAACTCGGTGTAATTATATACTGTACATGTACTAAAATATGCAATTACACAGAATCCCACAGGTAGAAATCACACGGAAGTTATGCAGTCAGTTACCCTTTTCAAAAAATGCTTAAAAATACATAAAGAGAGAGAGAGAGAGAGAGAGATTTTCATAGTCTATGTATTACTGTAATAATAACAAGTAATCTACAGCCAACATTTAAATTTAAAGAACGCCTGCATATCTGGATCGTCCACAGATTTACCATTCACACCCGCATAAACCTCCTGTAGGACTTTATTCTTGAATTTTTCTTCTAAAATTTTCACATACTTCTCCAGAACAGCTAGATAGGAAAAAAAGATTGCTTGAGTTCACATTAAAAAATGTACATTTATCATATATTGGGTGCCAAGAAAAATGTAAGATATTTACAGTTTCCTCTCATGGTCTTTTAATTGGTGGTTTCTCCATTTCAAAGAAAAAGTTTCCTCCCTTTAGGTACAATAAACTTGCTATTCATATCACCTCAAATAAAGTCTTGTATATTTTTTTAATTACCGGTATGGATTTTCCTCAAATGATCTTGCATTTTCCATGTGAAATTTTAAAGAATTAAGATTCACAGAAATAATAATGGCCCATTGTCCTTTGAATATTTTGAATTTTCAAAATTGCAGCACTTAATATTGTTATGGTCACAGAAGCAAATTCAAGATTCTTCATCTTCTTTAGAAAAATTGGGCTTCCTTTTTGAAATTTTAAAGGACTGTTCATTCAATATATGACGTCAAAGAGCATAATATTATGCAAATAAATTGGATTTGGTTGTAAAATAAGTTACTTTAGATTCCTTATTTTTCGTGAGTACTTATTATTGTGAAATAATCTCTGTATTAAGGTCAAATTGTAAGAGCAATAATTCACAAGTGGACAGATGTTCAAAAGATTTTACATTGGTTTCAGCACCATGGCATAAGAATAAAAGCGAGTTATTTTATTACGTGAGTGGTGCGCATGCTTACATGATATTTAATTCTACACATTTATTTAGGAATCTATAGTAATGACAAAAGAACGATGCAAAATTATGGATGAGAGCAGATAGCAGTAGGTTACCTGAGTGACTCAGATAACCTTATAAAACTCAATCAAACTAAAATCAGGCAAATAACCTTGTAAACAGTGACAGTGAAATCATTAATTTAGGGGGGGGGGGTTATTGGTTTACAAGTCATGGAGAGACCCACAAATTTATGACCACCATGAAATGCAAAATTTCATATGCATTAAATTACATCTAAACATTCTCCAACCACATAATCAAATCCCCACAATCTAATATTTTTTCCTCAAACCTTCAAAATTTTACCTCACGAAAATATGTGATTTTACATTTTTTGAGATATCACATGAAAGTTGGGAGGAAATTATATTTCAATCATACTAAGTAATTTTTAATTTACCTAAGCCGTAAACTTTTCCATAGAGGATCATGTTCTTCACCAGTCTCTTATCCTCGTAATCCTCGGCCTTCATCAGAAGCCGCACTATCTCACCCAGGATGTAGCCATCGTCAAACGTCGGGGGGTCAGAGATGTGGAATTTACAATATACATCCACAGCTCCCTTCGGATCTGTCTTTGCTAACATTTCTGCTAATTCAATGCAGGCATCATGAACCTGAAGGAATATTTCTAATTATATTACATCGCTTGCTTACAAGTTTTACATGCAATGTATATAAATAACTTTCAGGTACTTTGAAGAATAACTGAATAACTTCAGTTCAATCCCAAATTTAAGTTTACATATAAGAAAAGGACATCTATGAACCAGGTGCCCATGGGCCACAATGCTCACCCAAGTTACTTTTGCCTGCCATTCTTCAAAAGATTCTTAACGAAAGATTCTTAAAAGATTTTATATTCCCTGAAAAATTGTGACTTTATAGTTTGGCTTAGGGGTCACTTTATCCACATAACATGGGAATTTTTTGTTCATATTTCAATGTCAGTTTTCCTTCCACACTGTGACCCAATCCTACCCCCTGGAAAATGATTGGAATAACTTTGAATATACACTTTCTCAGGAATCTTCACAACCTTTCATATTTTCTTGCCAGTAATTCTCGAGAAAATTTTTGAAAGCTTATTCTTGAATAATTTAATGAAAATTTTTTTTATCTCCTGTTGATGTCCATCCCTGATTTGAACAATTAAGAATTCAACTACCCCAGGAAACTATAATTTCATCTTTTCTACCCTGGTGCTTTTTGTTCAAAATACTCTAATTTTGCCTTTTCTTGATTTTCTCCCCTTAGAGGGAATCCTTCATTAAAATAATTTATTTAGAGTTTTCTTTACTCAAGGACACTTTGTGCCAACCTTCAAGTTTGTTAAAATGAGCTAACTGGTTCTTAAGCTAAAGTCAAAATTGTGAAAAGTTAACAAATGATACAGGGCTCTTATAACTTAATGAACTGTCAAAGTTTTATGGACTTACTTCTGGTGCCATAGCCATGACTTCATTGTAGAACTTCTTTGATTGGTCAATTTCTCCTGTTGCTCTGTAAGCTCGGGCCAGGCCAAGTCTGGGATGGTAAGTTTTCTGGTTGATTGGGGCTGGTTTACTGTCAGCTGGTTTAGGCTCTGGGGCAGGTTCTGGTTTGGTTTCTTCTTTCTTTGGTTGTTCAGTGGCTGACAATTGATAAGAAATTCCAAGTTCAAATTCTCATGCCTAAAACTCCTTTAGGTTTAAAATCCTAAAAAGAATTAATCTGTGATTAACTTTAAAATGGGTACTTTCAACTTCCCTTCTGATTATTTTGAACATTACATAACAATTTTTAGATCATTTCAGCAACAGGTTTTTACAAATGTGAAAGTAGTCCTTTGAAATTTACTGGTGTTTTCTTTAAATACTGAGTGTCATGTGCATGTATTTGATGTAAATTCAAGACATTCATTTGACCAATAGAAATTTAGGAGAATTATCAACTGAGGGAGTATAAAGAAGGCAGATAGTACCTCCAGACTTATTGACAGGGGGCGCAGTTTCACACTAATGTGTACCTTTACCTGCTGGGGGTTTAGATGGGGCTGGAGCAGTGTCACACTGATATGTAACTTTACCTGCTGGGGGTTTAGATGAGGCTGGAGCAGTGTCACACTGATGTGTACCTTTACCTGCTGGGGGTTTCGATGGGGGCGTAGTGTCACACTGATGTGTACCTTTACCTGCTGGGGGTTTAGATGAGGGTGCAGTGTCACACTGATGTGTAACTTTACCTGCTGGAGGTTTAGATGGGGGAGCAGTGTCACACTGATGTGTACTTTTACCTGCTGGGGGTTTAGATGAGGGAGCAGTGTCACACTGATGTGTACTTTTACCTGCTGGGGATTGAGATGGGGGAGCAGTGTCACACTGTACCTTTACCTATTGGAGGTTCAGATGAGGTTGGAGCAGTGTCACACTGATGTGTACCTTTACCTATTGGAGGTTTAGATGAGGCTGGAGCAGTGTCACATTGATGTGTACCTTTACCTGCTGGGGGTTTAGATGAGGCTGGAGCTGTGTCACATTGATGTGTACTTTTACCTGCTGGGGGTTTAGATGGGTGCGTATCATCACACTGATGTGTACCTTTACCTGCTGGGGGTTTAGATGGGTGCGTATCATCACACTGATGTGTACCTTTACCTGCTGGGGGTTTAGATGAGGCTGGAGCAGTGTCACACTGATGTGTACCTTTACCTGCTGGAGGTATAGATGAGGCTGGAGCAGTGTCACATTGATGTGTACCTTTACCTGCTGGGGGTTTAGATGGGTGCGTATCATCACACTGATGTGTACCTTTACCTGCTGGGGGTTTAGATGGGTGCGTATCATCACACTGATGTGTACCTTTACCTGCTGGGGGTTTAGATGGGTGCGTATCATCACACTGATGTGTAACTTTACCTGCTGGGGGTTTAGATGGGTGCATATCATCACACTGATGTGTACCTTTACCTGCTGGGGGTTTAGATGGGTGCGTATCATCACACTGATGTTTAACTTTACCTGCTGGGGGTTTAGATGAGGCTGGAGCAGTGTCACACTGATGTGTACCTTTACCTGGAGGTTTAGATGGGGCTGGAGCAGGAGCCGCTTTCCCTGCAGGAGCCTAAAAATTATACATGAAAGTTGTTCATTATCATCTATACATGTATATGTTCAGACAAAATAATATGCATTTTAATAATAGATTATATAGATTTTTTTTCAAAGAAAATCTTGATACTGACCTTAGCAGCAGCCCCACCTCTAGTGGCCCCTCCTCTTCCTGCAGCTGCACCACCTATAAATCATAAACACTGCATGACAGTCAGAATTACAGTAAAACACACTTATAGTTAACATGCTTAATTATTACATGTATATAAATACTGCATGAAGTTGAGTGTAACATTTAAAATTTTCACCGCAAGAAAACTTTTGTCAATTGAGGTGCAGCCGAGGTTTACAGTTGTTTTTGAGAGGTAAAATTTTTTGATATTACACGCAACTAGATGCAGTATTTATTATATTGAACTGTGTCTTATACAAATTACAATGAAACGTGTATGCACAAATTCTGCACTGTCAACATTTTTGGAATATCACCTGTTGTTCAGCAATGTTGTTTGTTGCTATGCTGGAGAGCATGGCTTCATTATTTAGTGGGTAATAGTGGCTTTTTTTTGATAAATGTTTTAACAAATCAGATAAACTACTGTGTAATTCATGCAAAAGTAAAATACAATGAATTGATGCATACAGTGAAGTGATTATCATTATCATTATCAAATATATTGTAGACTAATGAACTATGTACCTATACTGGATTCTGTCATTAGCTTAATCCTGTAATATGGCCCTTTAGTACCCCTGGAAAGGGGGCAAAATTTAACAGATTTACAAATCAACTTCATTTTTGTGCATCCGGATCATAGATTCGGGGCATATATTGTTTTTGTCCTGTCTGTTTGTCTGTATGTCTGTTGTCAACTTAAACCTTCGCCATAACTTTTGAACCATGAGAGATAGAGACTTCATATTTAGTATGCATACTCCACTAATTATAAACTCTTTCAAATGACACCAAGGTCCATGATTTTGTGACCTTGACTGTGACCTACTGTAGATCACTAAATTTTTGTGACACCTTATTTCGCGAGAAAGTCATTGTCTCTTGAAAAGGGAAACAAAATTTTCATGAACTGTGGTCATTGCTTTTATAATATATAATGAATACTATTATACATGAGAATTAAATTTTCTCGAGCACACTGTCTCACGTAATTACCCTAAAATAAAGTTCTCATGAATAAAAAGTGATTAACAGCATATCTTAAAAAAAGCTTTTTGGACCTTTGCCATAACTTTTGAACCATAGAAGATAGAGACTTCATATTTTTATAATCCACTAATTAAGTTCTTCCAAATGACACCAAGGTCAATGACCTTGTGACCTTGACTGTGACCTATGTGCTAAAAATAGCATTTTAGAACTTTGTTCCACCAGGTGCATAGTGTTTCACAAACACATTTTGTTGTTTTTTTAATCCTAATCCATCCGTGCAATTTCTTGATTATCTCCCCCTTCAAAAAGAACATTTGCCTTTCATATGAACAAAGTTAATATATTTCCTTCGCTAAAATTTGGTTTGTGACAAATTTGTTTAAAAATAACTCAATATCTCGTGAAAAGAATGTGAAATTGCTAAAAAAAACCTCAACAAGCACTTGATTCAAAAGGATTAATTGTTGTCAAACTAAATATTGTCCAAATTATTTCACTTGAGCCAATAAAGCATTCTCACCCCTGGCTTGTGTAGGAGGTGCCCCTCTCCCCCGGGCTGCTGGTGCCCCTCGAGGGGCAGGTGCTCCTCTCCCAGCGGCCCCTCCTCCCCTGGCAGCAGGGGCAGGTTTTGCTGCCCCTCCTTTGGCAGCTGGTGGCGGAGCTTTCTTTGCTTCTTCTGCCTTTTTGGCCTCTTCCTCTGCTTTTACTTTATCTTGCCACCATTGCTGTTCTAAATCAAACAACAAAAGGCAAAAAAGCTATAATGATCACTGAGTCATCTTGGCCCTGCTGTTCTTAAGAATATTAATCCAGGGAAAAAACTTCCAGCTCAAATTGAAGCTCCAACTTCACCCCATGGGTTATAATTAAACAAACATATATCATGGTGATTCTGACTTAAAGTACGACAAATACAGCTTTGCTATTTCAAAATAATTCTGTAAACGCACTGTATTATAAAAAATAATTCCAAAAATTTGGGAGCATCAATTTACCCAAAAGGACTCAAAGTGATTATATTTTGACATTTAAAAAAAATCAATAATTTGAATTCAATAATGATTTATATATTTTTTAGTTAAAGTAAATATTGACAAAAACATAAAAAATTATACTGTTTTTTTTGGAAAATAAAATAATGCCTTGTACGTATATATATGTCAAAAACTGAATCTTGTTTGGTATGCTTTGTATAATATTTTGCTGAAAATGTTCTGTGACTTACTCTAGGCATATGGTCTCAGTGCAGGGACACCCCCCAACAAACTTGAACAAACACACACTAACTTTTTCCCCAAACCTTATGTTTTTTATTTAAAAGTTAATTGCCCCCTTCATTTCAATTCCTTTACAAAATTACCATGTACCATAAACCACACATCATACCTCTCAGGTGTGACAATGAGCCAAATGTATCACGATTTACCAGTCTAACATTATACCACTACCATGAACCATAAAACACACACCATACCTGTCAGGTATGACATTTAGCCAAATGTATCACGGTATGTACCGGTCTACCACACACCATTATCATGAACCATAAACCACACACCATTCCTGTAAGATGTGACACTGAGCCAAATGAATCAGGATACACCAGTCTACCATTACACCACTACCATGAACCATAAACCACACACCATACCTGTCAAGTCTGACATTGAGCCAAATGTATCATGATTTACCCCACCTCTGTTGATTTTCCCGTGAAATACTGGCTTACGATTGGTTAAAGTCTGTCACGTGAAGGAGGTGGATTTCTTATACCCGGTCAGTTGTAAATCTATACCCGGTCGATATATTACGTCACAAACATAACGTGACGTCATAATAGGCACAGTATAAGCGTGATAAAGCATTTAGCAGAGAAAACCATTTATAAACTACAGATAAAACGTAAATGTTTCATCGGTGGGGTAAATTCGTTACATAGTCTTTTAGTGACAGGGTATGGGATGATACCTGGTTAGTAAATTTCATACCTGACTCGGCTCTGCCTCGCCAGGTATGAAATTTACTAACCAGGTATCATCCCATACCCTGTCACTAAAAGACTATGTAACTAATAATACCAGTCTACCATTACACCACTACCATGAACCATAAACCACATATCATACCTGTCAGGTGTGACATTGAGCCAAATGTATCATGATATACCAGTCTACCATTACACCACTACCATGAACCATAAACCACACACCATACCTGTCAAGTCTGACATTGAGCAAAATGTATCATGATATACTAGTCTACCATAAAACCACTACTATGAGCCATTAACCACACATCATACCTTTCAGGTGTGATTTTGAGCTGAATGTATCATGATTTACCCCTGGCTTACGATTGGTTGAAGTCCGTCACGTGAAGGCGGTGGATTATTTATACCCGGTCAGTTGTAAATCTATACCCGGTCGATGTATTATGTCACAAACACAAACGTGACGTCATAATAGGCACAGTGTAAGTGTGATGAAGCATTTAGCAGAGAAAACCATTTATAAACTACAGATAAAACGTAAATGTTTCATTGGTGGGGTAAATTCGTTACATAGTCTTTTAGCGACAGGGTATGGGATGATACCTGCTCCGCCTCGCCAGGTATGAAATTTACTAACCAGGTATCATCCCATACCCTGTCATTAAAGACTATGTAACTAATAATACCAGTCTACTTCACACCATTATCATGAAACATATACCATACACCATACCTGTCAGGTGTGACATTGAGCCAAATTTATCATGATTTACCAATCTACCATTACACCACTACCATGAACCATTAACCACACAACATACCTGTCAGGTGTGACACTGAGCCATTAACCACATACCATACCTGTCAGTGCCTCTGGGGGACCTCCCGCGGCGGGTTTTCCTTCCATACTGATACAGGCCTGATAAGACTTCATGGACTGGTTCAGGATTTTGTTAGCGGTGTCCCCGGGGGGACAGTTCTCATACTTGGCAAACTGTGAGGCCCCCAGTCTGTACAGAGATAGACTACTGCAGGGATTCAGGTTCACCAGCTTCTGACACGTCTACAAAAAAGTAAGGAAGTCCTCTCCTCATACAGAAAATCTGAGAAGTCATACAACATTTACAAAGATCTACAATATTCCCAAACAAGTGTTTTTATAGCTATAAGGAATATCAATTAATAATGATGATGATGTATGAATATAATCAATGACCACAATATTATGTAATTCCTTTATACAGATGTAATTTTAAAGTAATCTAAAAGGTATTCTGGTTAAAGATCTTTTAATCAGAACAAGAGGCCCATGGGCCACAAACTTCACCAGAGCCATGATGACCCTGCTGATTTCTTTCTTAATATATTCCTGAGTGAAACTTTGATCCCCTAGATGTAATAATTCTTAAAGATGTAGCATATGCACCCTACTAATCAGAGACATAATTTGAACGAGCTTGAATCTATGCTACTTGAGGATGCCTCCTTATCAGGTGAGCTAAATATGGATGATAACCGATTAAATTCATAATTGTGTGGCAGATTGTAATTGATCAAAATTAATAATTACCATTACTCTATTCCTAAATGGGAATAGACATCTTATAAAATTAAAATTTTTTGAAAGGGTAAAGAGAAAAGTTTATCCTGAGTGAAGTCAAGGTAAGCTAAAATAAAACATCTGTTTAAAATCTGGACCACTGACGTACCTGTTCTTGGAGATTGAGCAAGTCTTCATTCATTGGTAGAGTGGATTTCATGATGAGTGCAGACAGTCTCTGGCAGCGCTGTTCTATCAGATCTGCATTCTTCACAGGGTCCTTAAACAGGCTGTCCAGTAGATGTGAGTGGGATTCCAGGAGCACCCACTCCAGCTGTTTATAGGTGTCTCCGCGTGCTATATAGGGGAGGACCTGGGAGGCCAGCAGGGCTGAGCTGGGGTAGACATAGAAACATCCAAAATAAACATAAACAAGCTCATCTCAACATGACAGGTTCTCTTTATGAAAGGCATTTTTCATCACATGACAATGTTTTCAAGATACCTACTACCCAATAAACTCAGTCACAAAGCATGAGAGACTACTACATGTTTATAATTCAAAAGCAAAAGTAACAAATCTTACATCTACAAATGCAAAAGGTAATCTCTCACAAACTAAATGAGTGTTAAGTGAGATTCAATTAATATCAGAGAATCTAATTATTTTACTTTCCTTAAACAATTCCCCAAAATTCAAATAACTTTGCTCTATAGCCACTTACTTTATAGAGCAAAAATATTCTCATTTGAGTGGGATTAGATGGATAGGAAATGTTACCATATTTCTTAATACTTTCAAACAAAAATCTTGGTTCCTTTTTTAAAGTGAATTAATGAGTTTGGTGTCTTACGTATGAAATATGTGTTCTGGTGACATGCAGTCTGTGACATCGGTATTCCTCTGTAACAGCTTTCCTACATTGACAATTCCTCGCAGGAGATGAACATTTGATGATCGTAACAAATTGTCTGAATGAAGTACAGGTGGTATATCTCTGCAATGAAAATCAGTCAAGATTCTACATTAATTAAACATGCTCTCTTATTTAGTTCTTCAAAATATAAAACTGTTGGAAACTATGGAACAGTTACACCAAAGAAATGAAAAATTTAATGTGCCAAATTTCTGAGAGGACAATTTAAAGAGCATGCTGCTTTCATTAGTGTCAGTTTTCCCATACAGTTCAAAAGCCAATTTGCTAACTGTAAAAATCAACCATGCAAATTGAAGGAAAACTAGGATTTCGGCTGTATTGGACAATTTTAAAAAATGGCAAACGACCCCATCTTCAAATATTTAATATGTCCTTTCTTTGTTTGAAGTCTGTTTAATGACTCCTTCCATTTATTTACTCTACATTGTATGAGTTAATATGAGGATAGTAGGAATCTTATAATCTTCTCTAAAATTTCTACATTTAATAAATGTCATTGAACACAATTTATAAAAACAGCTGATATTTTAAGTTCCAGAATTTTACAGAGAGTGACTGGATTGTACATTTTATTTTACTTTCAATTCATCCTACCAATCAAACAGAAACTGAGCACATATTACCTGGGGTCATCTGAGGTCATGGCTGCCTTTGTATGTTGTGTCAGGAGCGTTTCCATGGCCTCCAGCAGATAGAGGATTGTTTCTTTAGATCTGGCACCAGGTCCATTTTTCTGCAAAGCAAGTGCCAGTCCCAAATAGAACCTAGTAAGAAATTATAAATGTTATTTGGATTAGAAATGATTTGTATTATGTTCATAATAATTACAGCATCAAATAACTACCATAACTTGATATTATAAAAGAATATTTACCAAACTATATATCTTACTAAATATCTTATCTAGTTCATCCTTTGTATCTTTTATTATAATATTAATTTAATGTTCAGCACATCAATTGCAAACAAAATCATTGTGAAAGAATTTAAGTAAAATTTTCTTATTTGTTCTTGAATTGAAAAGTAAGGATATGAAATCAAGGAAGAGTTATACATTTCTATATTACTTGGCAAACTGATGTTTAGGGTTCCAGTTCAGCGTCACTTCCAGTCTTTTCACAGCATCGTCAAAGTTCCCCTGTATCACAAGCATACGTCCCACATGAAAGTTGTAGATGGCCTTGGATTCATCTAAGGTCAGTGCATCCATGTATTTTAGGTAGGCTTGTCCCAATGAAGACTCCTCATCCTGCGCTTTCTGGGCAGCCATTCCTTCCTGCATAGTAAATGTCGTAATTTGCAAAACTTAGACAGAAGATATGAATTTCTGATCTTGACCTTTGAACTTTTCATCTCAAAAGCAATAGGATCTTTTTAAGGGTGTTTTCATATGAATTTTATTGCAGAAGCATAACACACAAGCAGAATATATGAATTGGTGTCCAGGACCATTGACCTTTTAATCTTGTTAGGTAATAGCGAGTTGTCATAAGAAATTTCATTGAAAAGTGTTAAAAAGATTTAGAGGTGTTGTATGGGAAAAAATGTTACACACAGACAGAACGACAGGACTCAAACTAAAATCCCCAACTTTCAGTGAAAACACTTACATTCACACAACCTCTCATACATATATGTAACATTTGAATTTACTGCTCCACCCTACCCCCTGGAGTAAATTGGGGGATCTGAACAGTCTTAAATCTACAGTATGTAATGGAGCTTTCACACAAGTCAATCATCTTTTCTAGCCCAGTGGTTCTTTAGAGGATTTATATATATATATCAAATTGAACCAGTTTAGTCAGAATAAGTCCAGACCTGAGTTTCAGGCAGGCTCAAGTGGTCACTTGATACATTGAGGCCCCTGGACCTCTTGTTTTTGTTCAATATGATGATTTAGAAACCCTTAAAGTACACTATTCCATGCATTCTTCTGGTTTTTTAACTCCTTGTGTACCTTAATCTTATAGAATTGGCCTCAAAACAGCACTAATGAATTACCTGAGAGGCCTGCTTTGATTTCCACACAAATAAACCCATAACATGGTCTGCCTTGCCACTCTGGTTATTGTTCAGAAGATGATGATATTCCTCATCAATGGCCTTCAGTTGTAGAGCTATCGGGGCAGAAGCACTGTCCACCCCGCGTAATTTACAAATGGCTGCACACTCCTCCTCTTTTGAACTCTCTTTGGCTTCAAAGTTGAAGGATGGCAAGGACTCCCCACCCTCCTTTGTCAAAAAAAGTGAACAAAGAAAGGTATTTATTATACACCTTGACTTGGGAGTAACATCACAGAGATTGAAATAATTCAAACAGGATAAACTAAAGTACTTTGTTATGGAACTTTGAATGTGTGACAAACTTCTTATATCTATTTCAAAATAAAATAAATAAGTTAACATAAGCTTGGGTCAGTCTTCATTCTCCAATTAAACTGAATCTTTTCATTTATATAAATTTTCTCAACAATAATGCATATTCATACTAAATTCACACGAAATGAAACAGTGGAACAAAGAATCTGCGACTCAGTCAATACCATTCATACAGTTAAAATGAAATGTATGTAACATATCTACCTCTTTTTTGAGACCAAATAAATCTTCAGCATAATATCTTTCTTCAAGCACTTGCCCAAGCTTCAAGTGCAGGGCTGCATCTTTTGGTTTGAATTTAATGGCACTGGCAAAATTATAGGCAGCATTATCCAAAAAATCTAATGGTGTTTCTCCATGAGCCCACTGCATAGACTGTCCTATAAAATATTGAATGAATATTTAAAGTTTCTACTTACTTTTTTAAAAACAAATATCTGCATAGAATGTCCTGTAACAGATTTAATTAATAAGTTTCCACTTGCTTCATTACCAAGTAATACTTAATGAACATACATGTATATGTCAAGTATTTTTGTCTCTTTATTATAATTATTTAGCTAAGAAGAGTTTGTGGACAGTTTTGTATGATTTTCTCTGAGGCAAGTTCTTCAGTTTCATAAAAAATGTACCGTAATACCTTTTTAAATGGAATTTTTAACTACATGCAAATTTAGCAATTTTTCTTTTAAAATCAGTATTTAACCTTAAGCAATTTAGTAATACCTTGAAAGATAACAGTAACTTGGCTCATTTGGGCAAAGAAACTGTTAGCAATATTTGATTTTAGCAATTTCAACACCCTTGCTAAAAACCATCATTGAATGCTAGCTGCATGTAGATCTGTAGCTCGCTGGTCTGAAAAAATAAACTGCTATGGATGACCTGAGAGAGCTAGAGTGCCACCCACTGAAAAAAGTGTATAATTTATTTATTGTGCACAAAAAGTGCACTGTTTCTCAATTTATTTTTGCATATATTTAAGCTGCCATCTCAAAATATTACTAACCATTTGTTCCAAACATAGTTTTTCACTATTCCCACAATAAAACATTTCCCAAAACTGATGTAAATAGCACGTCTGGGCCTGAAATTGTGACCATGGAAAATTTGGACTATTTATACTGCCATCTTGGGTGGCAAGACACTGTTAATATTATTTTTTTTTTTATATACACTTAGAAATAAATAAACAGCACTTTTTTGTGCACAATCAATATACATGTACAATTTTTTCTGTGGGTGGCACTGTAGTTTCTGGACGTCTATCCTATTTTTTCAGACCAGAGAGCTACAGATCTGCAGCTATATTGAATTTTTGCAAAAATTTCTAGGTAGTAAGGGCATACCTGATTTTGGTAGAGACTCAAAATATTTGCTTAAAAAGGAGTCTGCATTTTTACACATTTCAGTAACATCAGTTTCATCAAAAATCTGTTGCAAGTTTTTCTCCCATTTTCTGACCTAAAATTTAAATCATAAGCAAAATTAATTGTATGAGTAAGAGGTACATGTATCAGAAAAAGAGGATTTTGAAAATAATGAATGTTTTTCCATAATGTGAACTACCTCGAGAAAAAAAAAAAAGAAGAAAAATTAACACCCCACAAAAATTAGTGATTTCCCAGTTAGGAAATGGCCAAGTAAGAAAATTGGGAAATTGCCCCTTTTGATAGGTTGATACTTATTTTTGGAGGGTAGTGTATTTTTGAGATGAATACAATTGAACTTTTTTCTTTTGAATATGTCACAACAAAACATGGTGTTTTAAAATGTCAGTCTTCTTGAAAGAAGATCCTTAGCCTCACCATAACATTGCAATAAGCTTGTCTGCTAAATACCCAGGGACAGAAAAGAACATTTTTGGGGGGGCACCCCAGGTTTGTGCAAAACCTTATGCACAATGGACATTTAGATGTATTGATGACATATTGTCAATCAACAATGGTAATTTCCCTTATGTTGGGTACCAATTGCACCCTTATCATTTATACACACTTATTTTGTTAAAAAAAGTCTACTTTTTTGTCTTTTGATCAGAAAAATAGAAAAACATTTTTTAGAGTGAAAGTTTTTTCAATATACCATACAGCTCTGTGTATTCATATTTAACAGAAACAAAAATTTTATAACGTGCTTATCTAAATGAATTTGTGCAAAACCTTATGCAGATTAATTTAATATGATTGTTTTACTTATGCCGCCCACTAAATACTAGTATTGTGCATTTAACATTCAGGAAGTGACATGTCCCTCCAGTTTGTCATTCCTGTTACCAGTTATCTCACTTTCCTAGAAAATGTTAAGAAAATATCACTTGCTGTGGCCTTCAACTGGACATTTAGATGTATTGATGACATATTGTTAATCAACAATGGTAATTTCCATTCTTATGTTGATACTATATATCCTGGTGAGCTTGAGATAAAAGATAGCACAGAGTCTGTTTCATATTTGGATATCTTACTTCAAAAAGATGTTAATTACTTATCATAATTATACACACTTATTTTGCCAATTACTTTTATTGTTCTTAATATAAGTTTAATAACCATGTTAAAAAACTTCAGAAATATGTTAGGCTTCAAGAGAACAGAATGGACAGAAATTGTAACAGGAGATTTAAGTTTTATCATTTGTTTTTCCTAAAATTATGAAAAATTTCCAAAGACTTTATATATATAAATATTCTTTACAATGTATAACTTTTATTGTCAAATTTGCCAGATTTGACAAAATCATGTTTTTATTCTACATTTATTTCTCTTTTCCTAACCAATAAAGTTTTAAAAAAGTCAATTTTTATTTAAAATGTAGATTTCCCCATCCTGTTACACTGTTTGGTCTGTTTTGGGCCACAATATATTTTCCTAGTTTAAATTGCTTTGGCAGAGCACCTGTTTGAATACTTTCTGTAACTGATTCTAATCACAAAAATAATATACAAGGTTTTTTTCACCATATAAACATTCCGATAAGGCTTATAATCATGCATGCTTTTAAACCTATATATTAGATTGTCAAACATCTGCTTTGTATTTTTTTTATTTTTTGAGATATACAAAAGATTATTCGGAAAATTTTGAAATAAAGTTTTACAGCTCTTTTTATGAAAGTAACAGGAAGGACATTAAAATTTAAATGACTCAGATAAAATGTCACTATTTTTTAAAAGATATTTTCTTTTATGATCATGGATTTTAGTAGTTTATTACTATATTATTCAAATAAAGATGAAAAAATCCCACTTTCATTTTTCAAAAATATGTCATTCAAAAAATGGAATTTTTTGAAAATGACCCCCTTCACCTGGCCGGGCCATCAATTTCACAATTTTGATAGAGGCCAGTCTCAATGCTTAATTATTACAATCAAGCAAAGAGTTTGACTGCTTGATGTTATGATGAGTAACAAATTTTTATAAAGATAACACTAATTTTGATAATCTGAGCCCCAACGCCAGGAGGCAGGGACCATAAAATTCGAATATTTGTTCCCTATCACATAGAAATTCTACAACAAAACTGGTTGAAATCAGTTTAATCTTTGGTTTAATCATTGATCATCTTTGATCATGTGTGGATTCCCCATCAGACCAGAATTGTACACAATACTAACCTGTACAGAATGGTTCAGAGGAGCTGTTACACTTTTGAATTTGTCAGTGACGTCCTGCAAAAACACAAAGGAATCACAGATCAATGGATATACATGTATGATACTCATATACTTAAATCCATTGCATGATCATATTGTCCATAGAAACAATAATAATAGGGGGAAAATTCATAACTGTATTAAACTACATGTATACCTATGCTAAACCTTCATTGTAATTCCATTGTAACAATTTTTTTTATTTTTTCATTTTATTTTTTTTTATTTCTGCATTAAAAAAATAAATTGCAATTATGTGTTAATTCCCTTTGGAAATTTTTTTTTCATAAATATTTGCTGCAGATTGCTGTAAATTACAATTAAGAGAATCTACATTTTGCACACACACGCTGTATTGATCAAATTTTGTTTTTAACTGCAGCAAGTGTTACATAACAAGTATGTTTCAAGTTTTTAAAGTTTTAAGCTCACAGCAAACAAACCTTATACATGCAAAATGAACTAGTCAATTAAAATAAAAAATAAAACCTGTAAAATGCATGTTATATGTTTCTTGCAAACTGGATGCAAACAACAGATTTGAATGCATTTTAATTCCTACAAGCTATGCTTTGATAAGTCCCTTCCAATTCCCTGCAAACTGATGGAGCATTTTCTGCAATTTCACTAAAAGACTGCAGAGAGCAGCAATCATCTGCAAACACAGCAAGTTTTCATCCTGTCCACAATTTCATTCCCTGCAAACTTGCAGAATGGTTGCAAATCTACAGCTAGTTTGATAGTATGGGGACTACTTTGCCTAGTAAAATTTAATGTACTGTGAGATTTGTTTGTCTACAGTTTGTACTTTTGTCCTTGCATTGTCTTTATTACTTTAATGTTTAAGGTAACATCAACTTACTTCCACTGGAGGAGCAATGTTGCACTTTTCAATTTCTGCTGCCAGCTCTGAAAACTTAGCTGGATCCAACATCTCTATGAAATGTAAAAAAAAAATTGCAAGTTCATAACTGGCCATTATACCAATAATGTATAATAATGTAGATTCCTTATTTTTCGTGAGTACTTATTATCGCGAGATGGCTCTTCAACGTCAAATTGCAAGAATAATTATTCGCGAATGGAAGATTGATCAAGAGAATTTTCATGGATTTCAGCACCTTAAAAATAAAAGCGAGTATTTTTATTTCGTGGTTGATGCTTCTCGCGAAATTATGCGATAATTAATTCCTCGCATATAATTAGGAATCTACAGTAATGTATAACAATATCTATTTCAGTTTGGTATAATAAAGTACTACATGTATGTACTACTATTTGAATAAATCTTCAACACTTATTTTTAATTTTTACACAAAATTCTTACTTTTATTCGTAAGTGGAATTGTAGCCATTGCAACTGCAATCTTTTTATCCAATTCATAATCCACAATTCTCCAGTCCTTTCCTAATGGCATCCCACTCAATGGGTCAATTTTAGACTTGCGTGTTTTCTCATCAATATTTGGAGCAGAGTATGTGTTCTTCGGATTACTTCCTCTTATGGTGATTGGACGATAAAGAACACTCAGAGTAAATGGACATTCAAATTCTTTAGCCAGCTTTTCATCCAACAACTTCACAAATCGGGGAATCTGTTTTCTGATCACATCCACGATGTAAGTCTAAATTGATAGCAAGACTATAGTTATCTTTCTGTCAACATTCAAACAAGAGGCCTATGAGTACATGCTCTCCTTATTTACTACTTAAGACCCTACTGTTCTTCTTCAGCAGATTTTTTTCCATTTGTTTTCCCATGACTGACACCCCCCCCCCCCCATTTTGATTTACTGTTTACTGTTCTTGAGAGGAAGAATTTAAAGATTTATTGCAATATATTTCTATATAACTCTTTTATTAACTACTGCGGCCCTACCCTACCCCAAGAGGTTTTGATTTTAACAATTTTTTTAATCTACAATAGGAAATGATATTATCATATGTTTCATCTCTTCTTGCTAAGTGGTTCTTAAGATTTTGAAAAACAGCATTAAATTTTCACTAAAAATAAGTAATTCTTAACTATCTTCCCTTGAAAGAAAGCATGGCTCTTCAGCTGAACAAAGAGGTAGAGCCACTTTGGGCTTTAATTGGCCCTGAGAATTTCTGAAAGTTCAAAACCGCTAAGTTTAGGTTGCAAATGCAGTATTTATTACTTGGACTGTTGGTGACCACATATCTATTAATTGTGACGTAATTTCACATTTAGTCAATGCATTATGACGTCATAAAATACGTCATTCTCCTCATATCCTGTAAATTCCCTTGAAAATGACCTAAAGTTGAAGCGTTTTTTCAATATTTCATATAGAGCACAACCTCTGATCCAAAATATGCCAATACATAATGAAAGGTCTATTTCTGAAGATCAAAAAACATGTTTTGATTTTTGGATCGTGGGCTGTGCTCATATTTTAATTCTTTGTTGAATATAGTCAAATACGCATATTTTCTGCAAATTTCAAGAATATTGCGATTTCTCAAAGCCTGTTTTCAAATATTTGGATTCTCAAAACAAAATTTCATTATAGAACATGAAAGCACTAAGTGTCTACTTTATTTTGATATATTAAAATGGAAAGAGTGTGATAGTTAATTTATTGATATAAGTACAGGGCCATTTTATGCATAAGATGGCTCTTCCTCTTTAGTTTGGACCTTCACCCAATATGCTTTCACTGACAACTGGTTCTTGAGAACTTGAAAAGTTTAGGACAACACCAACAACATTATTGACAAAGTTCAAATTTTGATCAGAAAAGCTCACTTAAGCCTCTGATTCAAATGAACTAAAATGTTAAAGAAAGTTGAACATGAAAGCAAAGAACTTGACAAGAAGCAGCTAAAAATTCTTTAATCTTCTGTATGCTTAAAAAAGTAGCTTAGGTTGAAGATTAAAAATTCCTGTTTGATGATTTGATCAAAACATATAGGGCATGCTATTATTTGTCTACACCAAAGTACTTCTAGCTACTGTAGATAATTTACACTTTATATATATAACTTAGAGATCTAGGTTCACTGTATCCATAAAATGGTCCAGCCAATTACCATTAATACTAATACCAATTAAATGACTAAGTCTCAATGTCCCTTTCAAACATCAATATTAAGAAAAGAGACTTTCAATTCCCAAGGTTTTCTAATGGTCCAAACAGGATTTGTGAAATTAAAAATGTGTATATTGAGCACTTTCAGCAAAAATGTAAAATAAGCCACTGACCAAAAATATAAAGCAAGGATATTATAAACATGAGCATAGCAGAACAGGGCATAAGGCTGCAGTTGACATTGATCCCAATGCAAATTATGTCACACACAACGGGACAGACTAAACTGAAAGAGTGTCAACTTTGTGTCCTGTGTAGACAAATCAAGCTCACCCATTACTAATTCTGTTCTCAGACTCCTTAATTGATTGAACCCAATTCATTCATTTTAAAGTTCTCAAAGCAGTGGTGAATGATAGGAACCTTATTGATTTCTGTGAAACAATTCCAGAAATTCTTGCCTTTTTGTTTGAGCCATCAGCTGATGTCACCTCTACAGAACAATTTGTTTCACCAACATTCAGTGCAGTTGGAGTGCCTGGTTTTCCCCCGCAAACAAGCACAACGTTTTTAGTATCGGGGGCCACTGGTTTAAGTACAACTTCAGCAACATTACAAGGAAGAAGACCTTAAAGTAGAATAAACATATGAACATAAAAAAGTTTGTCTATTTACCTACTCTGAGAATGTGATAGATAATGAAGGAATGTGTCTCAAATAATATGTATTTATAATACAATTGCTTTTCGCAGAGATCAAGCAGCATCCACTATTTCAATTACATTTATGAACTTACTGTGTTAACATAAATAGATATACCTAGCAATTTCAGATATGCACTGTGTTAAATAAAATCTACACTATTAAATTTTTAAATAAAGCAATTCATGCCAAATAATATTTATGCAAAACATAATATGTACCTTTATATAATTACCAGTAGATCGTGAGGAATTTGGTTCTAATTTTACATGAACTTTTTAATAAACTACCAATAAGATTATAGTATCGCTTTGGTTACTGATACATGTTTAATTTGGTACTGATCTTTGTCATAGCTATCACAGCCTATACCACACTTGTAGCGCTTGTAATATTCTTTTCAGATTTAAAATACCTACTGAGATTGTTTACTAGAGATGTACTTACAGGAATAACTGAGGACGTCTGGATTAAACTCAGGACTGATATTTCCCACTGATAACTGCAGATCACTGAGGAAAGCATCTTTGGCTGACAACCTCTTTGCGTGTATGAAATAATGTTTTATTGTCCCATCTTCAGAAGTCACCTCAATCTTTATATCTGTCACTGCACCTTCTTTGAGGGGGACATCCTTGCCCCCATCTCCTCCCTAATTTATTGTAAATTAAAATACAGATGATCAAACAAGGAATATGAACATAATTATGCAAAATCTTGTTAAAAAACTTTTCTTTCCATTACATGATTACATTACATGATATAATAAATTTACTTTTTAGGATTTTACTTAATATTACACTTAAATGCAATAGGCCAAATGTTCTGGAAATTCTATTAATAGCGAGCCCAGTGAGTGGCGCAAATCACCCCTCATCACTGTGAGCTCAAACAAATATGCCTGGGTGAAAAGAAAATTTGGACTACTGCACTTTGAAGTTCAATTCATTCAATAGAATTTTTTCCCACAGTAACTCTGGACCCAGAATGCATCGATCACTTTGATGAGCTACATTCTAGCTAGAATAACAACATATGTTCAACAGAAAATAAATTGCATGGCCATGATTTAATGGATATACTGTAGATAAATAGTACATAAAAAGGTCCATGGGCCACATCACTCACCTGAGCAATGTGGCTAGAAAAGAACTAATCAGCTCAGTATTGAAAAGTTTAAATCCATAAGTGATGCTAACCTACCTTTAGAGGGGAGGGGGCTACAATTTGAACAAACTTGAATCTACACTTCCAGAGGATGCTTTCATATAAATATGACTGAGCATGGACTATGCTGTTCTTCAGAGGAAGATTTTTAAAAATATTTCCTATATATATATATATATATATATATATATATATATATATATATATATATATATATATATATATATATATATATATATATATATACAATGATATATATTTATATGAAACTTTGATCGTCCCTTATGGCCCCGCCCTTCCCCAGGGGTCCTGGTTTGAACAAACTGAAATCTTCACTTCTTGAGAATGCTTTCATATAAATGTGACCAATCATGGCTTTGCTGTTCTTGAGAAGATCTTTAAATATTAATTTTTCCTTAATATTCCTATGTAAAACTTTGATCATCCCTTGTGCCCCCTTCCCCTACCCACTGGTGGTCATGATTTTATTAAACTTAATTGAATCTGCACTACCTGAAAATGTTTCCCTATAAGTTTCGATCATCTTTCCTGGCATATATAGTTGCTCTTGAAAAAAGATTTTAAAAACATATGCCACCAAATTTTCACTATTTCTGACTTATCTTCCCTTGAATGAGAGTGGCCCTTAATTTGAAAAAAAACTTGAATCCTCTTCACCCAAGGATGCTTTGTGGCAAGTTTGGTTCAAATTGGCCAAGTGGTTCTGAAGAAGAAGTCAAACATGTAAAAAAGTTTACAGATGGATGGACACCTAGACAGACAGATGGACCACGGACAAAATGTGATCAGAAAAGTTCATCTGAGCTTTCAGCTCATTTGAGCAAAAAATGATATGCATTAAAGTCAGCTTTGTTGAGGCTTTGGTTTGATAATGCAACTTACTTACCTTACCTTACACTTAAGAGTGGTTAAATGTACCAAATGTCACATGTAGTTTGAAGAGACAGGTCAAATACAGTTTATAATCACACTGAAAAGGTGTCTGTGATAGCCCTTATGCTGTCAGCATATTAATTTTGAAAGGATCACAAGTTTAAATTTCTAGTTAGACCATTCTATGGATCTCTATCAATTATATTTAAGGACTACGGACAAAGTTTGTTCTGCATGTTGAAAAAAAAATTCTATTGCTGCAGAACTGTAGCTCTCTGCTGGAGAAAATTCCATCAGATCAAACAGAGAGCTACAGATCCATGCGTTGTAAAAACCTTCGATTTACGCCGCCATTTTTTTGTCGCTCACTCCAGGTATTTTTTTAATAGACCGTTTCACTGTAACTGCGGTACGTACTGCTCTTTTGCAGGGCAAAATGATATCGTTTGGTGAAATATGACGTAAAAGTAATTGTTTAATATATGCCATTTAATTCTCTGTCAACAAAAACTTTTCAGTTATCATGAAGGGGCTAATATTCAATTATGTTTTCCCAAGCTTTATAAATGATATCTGATATTATCATACCTCATTAAAATTATTCTACACAACACGTTATCTGATTGGTTCTAGATTTTCACATGATTGGGCCATAAAACTTCATATTTCCCGGTCGTTGGCATGCTTTTCATCATATTCCACCTCTTCGGATACCTAGTGTATTTTCCCGCAATATAGTTATCGTTCGTTGAAAGAAAACTCCCAAGAGTATTCAACGTCACAGTAGACTAGTTTACATCACAAAACTGCTGAATAGAAAATGCGTCAAAAGGTTTCAGGAATTTTTACGTTAAAAATGAAAGTGAATTTGAGAGCTCTGCCAAATTTGAAAGTTTATTTTTATTTCAAAGTTTTCGCTTGTTTCGGTATAATAAACAATTCATTGCATGAATGTTTGGGAAACATGAATACTTATTCAGCCAAGAAATATCACATTCCCCTCGGGCTTCAATATAATTTTTCTTGCCTGAATAAGTATTCATATTTCCCTCACTATCTAGCTGCATAACTGTAGCATTATGGTTTTTATGTATTGGTCTTTGACCATAACGCTACAGATCCTGTAATGCACAAAATGTGCAATTTACGGCGCAAGATTTTTTGCGCAGTTTGGGAGAATTTCTCCACTTTTCAACTTTGGTGAATCATCTATCTTTCACCCTTAATTCCAGACACATTCTTAAACTAATTTGTATATTTTGTCCCTCTCAACCTTTTATAGTCACCTCTACAGACGATAAATTGGCTTGATATGATTATCTGAGGGATTGCAGAAAATTCTAAAACAAGCGAGTTTAACGCTCATAGAGACAACTATAAAGGGTTCTGAGGTGTATAGAATATATATTTATTTAAAAATGTGTCTAGAATTATGGAGGAAAAGGTAGATGATTTAAAAATATTGGAAAGTGGAGAAATTCTTCCGAACTGTGTGCAAAAAAATCTTGCGCCGTAAATTGCACATTTTTTGCATTACAGGATCTGTATAGCGTTATGGTCAAAGACTTATATATAAAAACCATAATGCTACAGTTCTGCAGCTACTCACTATCATATCATATATAATAAATGTACATATAATATTAACCATACAGTTAACCCCTAATCCATATAGACAAATTTCACATTCCTAAGAGTTATCTCCCATTGTTGGCGTAACGCTCATTTTTCCCACTTGATCCCTTTTAAGTTACCTGATAATATTTTTAATCTTCAAACATTATCGGAAGATTTTGATCTGTACCTGTATTGTAAGAGTATGGAGCAACATGAAAAACATAATGAACATACTAATACAGATTTTATTTCAAAGATACTGACCCATAAAGTGGTAAGGTTATAGAGGGAAAACAGTGCCTGTTGACCCCGGATTGACCTCGCAAAGGGGAATAACTTTTGTAAATGTGAAAGTCAACTATTATTCACCAATTACCTTTTAACGGTTCAAGAAGGGCCGTTTGTGGATGTGGAAATAGAAATGGGAATCTTTTAAACTGACATTCCAAAACCATATAGGACTGTTTCGGACCGTTGAAAGGTAAATAAAGTATCAATAATTGGATTAAAATATAATGACTTTAAAATTATCGGGTATACCATTCTAGGAGCGATTAGGAAAGCATAAACTACAAGAAATAATACCTTAATTGGCCTGAAGCGAGCGACAAAAAATTACTTCGTATATCGAAGGTTTTTACAATGCATGGATCTGTAGGTCTCTGGTTTATCTGTCTGAATTTTCTCAAGCAGAGAGCTACAGTTCTGCAGCTAAAAACGCTAGCTACTGAACGTACTGTGTCTGGGGCAGGCACTCCATAACACCATTCATTTGATTTAAAAAAAAAAAGAAGTGGTACAGCAAAATTATGAAAGAGAATGATTATTGAATGAATATCTGGATATATGTTCGGGTTGCACGGATGCAAACTCCGCATTCTCGGTATGCTTTAGCACGCAAAGACTTCGGGTAGTCCGATATTCAATTAATTTATTTTAACTTACGAATATACAGTATGATGCACCGGAGTCACTTGCCAATGGATCAATATTGATTTTTGTTACATTGCTTGGCACTGTTACTTCGTACTCGAGGTGGTTCTTGTTAAAACTTGGCGATAACTTGCCTGGTTTAATGACAAGTTTTTCTAGCGTACAGTCGTCCATCTTGAAACTTAGGAAGCTTTAGTGCGGGCTTCTTTTTTAAAATGCGGGACTATAACGTTTTTTTTGGCTAAGGAAAAAATGAAAATAATCTTCATAAATGCATATTCAATGCATATTTGACAAATTTAGGTCTAAATATAACCATTGTTAAACAATAAGTAATGTATGTATGTAAGGTTTATATTATGGGTGTTGGTAAAATGAGTACAAGCAACCCCGGGCCGGGGCAAATGGAAACGGGACAAATGGAAACCAAAACGTCCCGGTCAGCGTCCCCTAATTTTAGTCAAAGCGTCCCCTGATTTTAGTCAAAGCGCCCCCTGATTTTGGTCAAAGCGCCCCTAACATATTTTTATAGAAAAAATATCTGGTCAAAGTGTCCCCTGAATATATTTTGGTCAAACCATAAAAAAAAGAATACCGTCCCCAAATTTTGGTCAAAGCGTCCCCTGATTTTAGTCAAAGCGTCCCCTGATTTAAGTCAAAGCGCCCCATGATTTTGGTCAAAGCGTCCCCTAACGTATTTTTATAGAAAAAAATACTGCCCCCAAATTTTGGTCAAAGCGCCCCCTAATATATTTTTGCAGGGAAAAAAACGTTTCGAGTCGATCCCAAAGAAATAGTCAAAATGTCCCCTGTGAAAAATTTTTTCGGGTAACTGCAAAACAATGATAATATTATAAATACAAAACAGTTTTATTCTGTAACTTGTTTTGAAAAATATATTAGGGGGCACCTTGACCATTGCTTTATTCCTTATTAACATGTTTGTAAAAATATATTAGGGGGCGCCTTGACCAAAATCAGGGGACACTTTGACCAATATTTGGGGGCGTTTTGACCAATATTTGGGGGCGGTTTTGTAACATCATTTTACTGTAAAATTCTATAAGGGGCGCTTTACAAAAATCTTTGACACGGTTTTATTAGGGGGCACTTTGACTGGATTTCAATGGAAACCAGGAATTTCATGATATTTTCCAATTTTCTGAGTTAATATATTTAAACCAAAAAAGATGGGTGGATGAGATGGGCAGAATGCCTATAGCGCAACAGATAAGAAGTGAAAAATTTAATCTAAATTATATCAAAATTTTATGTCACATTTCATCTAATATTATAGTATACTTAATGTAAAATCTCTATAATTTACAAAAATCTCACTACACAGACTTAAAGAGACAAAAACAATCATTTTTTCATACTTTAAAAAAAAATTTCAATATGAGTGGGTCGATCTTTGCTTCATTTTTTTTGAAAGATTAAATCCTAAAAGTTTGCGAGAAAATAAATATTTTTTGGTTTACAAAAAAATGGAGCGAAGACCCTGGACTATACCTTAAAAGTACACTTTTATGACAAAACATTTGCATCTTTCCGAGAAATTCTTCAAGTCCATTAAGTCAAGGGTCATATCACAAACATGATTTAAATGCCCAAAATCATCATGGGCCATGTAGCATAGTGGTTATAAGCGCATTAGTTTCAAAGCAGTATGATAATTCAGTATTTTATTGCTGGGGTTCGAATCCCCATGTGACGTATACCATCGAATATTTTTATAAATGAAATTTTTTTTAAAAGATTTATTTTCTCTCAGAAAATTTTTTTTTTCCTCATAATTTCATAAATTTCAATAATGAGAAGTAAATTTAAATACTCAGTTTACATATCAAATGTAATTTCTTAATATATCTGACGATACAGGCATTCTGCCCGCCTTATCCCCCCATCTTCTTTATCATCAGACTGTTTTGGGATATAGAAAACCACAATGTTAAAGTAACACGGAGCTGTTTATAAGGGTCATATAATTATTGTTCAGATTTGAGAAAAGTTTTTTAAAATAGCTCTCATCAGTATGCATAAGCATATAAAGTTTGAAAAAAAAAATCTTTCATTATACTTTCTTAAAAATTAACACAAACTAAAACTAGAGGTACTTTGAGCAGTAAGCTCACTAAATGATTCACAGCACCTCCCATATAAATGTAATGATGAAGTCCATGTTTTGCTCTGGAAAACTCCAAATAAGTGTAAGATCAAAAAGTAAAATAGGACGTCACAATGGCATTATGTATACGTATAATAAAGAATCTGTGAAAGTATCATTAAATTTTATTCAGTGATATAGGAGGATATGCAAATAACAGATGGGTACCCTCAAATATAATAGAAACAAGAGATGACTATGTTAAACACTTATGCCCCCTCCTGCAAAAATTGAATTTTTCTAAGTCCAAGGGGCATAACTCTGTCAAATATGGCTTGATCATACCCAAAACAAAACTTGGCATAGATATTCATATTGTGAATCGGTATATTAAATTTCATTTCAGTTTGTGCAACCGCTGCCAAGAAAATGAATGGAAACTGCAAATAATTGGACTTTTTCCGAGTCCAAGGTGCATAACTCTGTCAAAAAAGGCTCAATCTTACCCAAAACAGAGCTTATTGACCTAGATATTCTTATGACAAATCTGAAACCCAAATTTCATTTCAGTATGTGCAATGGCTGTGATTAGAAAATGAACAGAAACTTGGTTGGAAAAGAGATGGGTACCCCAAATTGTAACTGATGGACGGACGTATGGACAGGCAGACGGACAGACATCCTGATCACTAAGTACCCTCCCACTTTTCAAGCAGAGGTATAAATGTGTCAGTTAAAATTCCAAATGTAAAATTGATTTTAACGTCATTATAACAACCATAGAGTTTTCAAAATTATGACTTTAAATGAGGACATCGATATCAGTCAGTAGCTTGCATTGATCTAAAATTTGATTCCATGTTGTGGCCTCTCTGATGAGACTGTAGCTTTACTGGTTTTGACTTGAAATAACGACAGAAAAATTAGCACTTGGACTTGAAACTATGCAACAGTCAAAAGTAGAATGCTCTTTGTTTTAACCTTTTTGTAGCAAAATTAATTTCAAACAGAGTTACATGTACACTGCAGGAGGAGTAGGTTTGGTCAACATATATAGAGCCTATATTCACTTTAGAATGAACCCTGTTTTATATTTATTTTTATTATACCTCTATTGATAATACTCGAATTTGATTGGCTGGTAAGAAAACTTGAAAACACAACAATGACTCCAAATGGTACTGTTTACAGCAAAAATGACCTAGGAATCATTGCACGTGGGGTATAATGACCCGGTCATTATTATTAATGACCGCTAAATAATGACCTCTTAATCAAAAATTCCTTTTTGAGTGAAGTTAAGGCATAAATTAATAATAATTATTCGAGAAAATCAATATTTTTTTTTTAAATTGTGCATGGTCTGTTTTGCATTACCCTACAGAAAACGGTAAAATTTTATCCTTTACTTAAACGGTTTACTCATTTCAAAATATCGTTACAATATTCAGTTCAATGGAATGTAGAATCGGCTCTTTAAAGAGTAGAATTCTGTGTTAGATTTTGACTCTGTAGAGGAGAAGTAATCGTTAGTTATAACAATTAATGTATGTCGCTATCAACCAAATATTGTTTTAATCAGTATAAATCATGATGCAAAAACTTACACGACTTGCAGACGTCAGTGTAAACAACTTCACTATACAGAGACAAGCGAATCCCAATACCGATCAAAGAAAGAATTGATAACGGTTAGAGATTCATACTTTTCAATATATATCAGTATAATAAAACAATTGATTACCCCTTTTGAGTTCAACATGGTGAAATAAGGAGCCTCGACATGGCACACTCGATGACCTGCCCTGACCGAGGCCGCTATGCGGCCTCGGTCAAGTCACCTCGTGGGCCAGGTCTCGGGTCCTTATTTCACCATGTTGACCTCAAAAGGGGTAATTAATTGTATAATAATTTTTTTTATTAAAAAAAAAATGCACCAAAAACTGAAATCTGGGACCCCCGGCAAACAGGATATCACATACACCCCCCCCAACTTTGTGAGCTAATAATTGATAGAAAAACAGACAGCTAGACAAGCATTTTTAAAAAATATTGCATAAGCTCTTTTTGTCTCTGACTGGTAGAGCCAAAAATGTAAACAGAACACTTGATCATTAATCTTGATGAAATTTATTGCATATATAAAATCAAATAAAATCTTGTAGTAAAAAAAAATCAGCAACTTGTCATGTCTACTAGTTAATCACTAACTCGGATATCAAAGATTTCCTCAAAATATAGGCCTGCTCTGTAACTTTTTAAAACTCCCTGTGTTATCTTTCTTATAATATTGACTTTTCTTTTCATCATCCTATTTTCCAGCCTTTGCGGTCTTAATTGATTCAACAGTGGGTCTGTTTTTTTGTCTTTAACGCTTTTTTTTCATCTGGACCCTTTTCTGTCATTTTGTGTTTATTCTGTCCACTTTTTTCTTTAACTTGACCGCCGTTATCAACAGAATCACCTTTGTCACTAGTACTTTTATTATCTTCAGAAATGTTCATTTTCTCCTCTGTATGTCTGGGTGTTTTGTCACTAGTACTTTTATTATCTTCAGATATGTTCATTTTCTCCTCTGTATGTCTGGGTGTTTTGTCACTAGTACTTTTATTATCTTCAGATATGTTCATTTTCTCCTCTGTATGTCTGGGTGATTTGTCACTAGTACTTTTATTATCTTCAGATATGTTCATTTTCTCCTCTATATGTCTGGGTGTTTTATCTTTGGTATTCTTCATCAACTCCGTATCATCCCTGATTTCCTCCTCTTTTCCTTCAGTTTCCATCTTTTCTTCCACAGACGCGTCAACTTTTTTATTTTCTCCCTCTGTGTCCATTTTTTCCTCCTTTTCATGATCTTTTTTCTTTTCATTCACTTTCTTAGCCTCAGAATTGTCCATTTTTATGTCTCTTTTGTGATCTATATTTAAATTAACACACAAATTATTACATATATAGTTACAAACATGTCAATATTGTCAGGACAGTATCAACTGTATATTCCTAATGGAACTGTTGTCTAGCAGGGTGCAATCAGAACGGGGTAGGGAGAAATGATTCTCCATTACAAACTGACTGCCTAGACTAGAATTTTACACTTTTTCTACCAGTGACCCTGAACTTGCCAGCATGACTTAGGTAAAGGTTACAACACACCCTCAGGTCATAAACAATTTTAGTACCAAGTATGAGGTTCCAATGAAAATCCATTACAAAGTTATTACTAGTACTTGGCCAAGTTTCTAAGAACTAACCTGCCAGAATGACCTCAGTTAAGTTTACGAATCATCCTAAGAACTTAAACAATCTTTTTGCCAAGAGTGAGCTCCAGATGCAAATGGTTCTCTTTACAAAGTTAAACCCTGGATAAGATTGCTTCAGCCACATTCATCATAACTCAGGGTAAAATTTCCTTCAATAACTAGATGTGCATACATCACAGTACCTGTGTGTACCAAAACAGAAGAGAGCCTACCTGTACAAGCTGACTCAGCCACTGGGAAATAAGCCTGCATCTGCTCCTCATAGAGGGCCACATCCTTTGGCATAAAGAGGCAGAAAATCACGCGAGCAATCTGAAAAATTATAATGTTATCAATAAAGTGGAACAATCAACAAGTCTTATTCAAAATAAGTATGCACTTGGTTAGTTTATTTAATGCCCATGAGCAGAGAGGAAGAATTTCAAAGAATTTATGCATTTTCACTATATAATCTATATAGCCCCGCCCTAGCACTAGAACCCCTGACCCTGGGGCCATGAAATTCACAATTTTGGAAGAGGCAGCCATATCCAACTTAACTATGCACTTGGTTATGTTATTTAATGCCCAGGAGCAGAAAAGAAGAACTTCAAAGAAATAATGCATTTTCACTATATAATCTATTTAGCCCCGCTCTAGCACTAGAACCCCCCCGACCCTGGAGCCATGAATTTCACAATTTTGGTAGAAGACTCAATGCTGATTACAATTATACCAACAGTCTGACTGCTTGATGTCCAGGAGTAAAGAAGAATATTTTTAAAGATTGGACTAATTTAAGAGGTTTTGGCCCCATCCCCCAGGCCCGGGGGGGGGGGGGGGGGGGGGGGGGGGGGGGAGAGGGACCATGAAATTCACAATTTTTGTTCCCCTTCACCTATAGATGCTATGTGGCAAAATTAGTTGAAATTGGTTCAGCGGTTTAAGAGAAGAAGCTGAAAATCTTCAAATGTAAACACACGACGAACGACAAACGATGAATGGCGACGGACGAAAACGGATAGCAATAGGTCACCTGATTTTACTCAGGTGACCTAAAAAAACATAATATGGGGTGGAGCTGCCAGAATTCCACTGGCAATACAAGCAATATCTTTGCCTTTGCTTAGATAGTCAAGCAATCTGTGCAGTGTTCCTACACTGCTAATTAAGAGACATAATCTGCAGGTCAAGAGTTCAAGCTTCAGCCTATGGTTAGGGCAGTAGAAAGTTTCCTTAAATAGCCAATTTCTGTGTGCTTTATATTAATGCATGAAAAATATGTATTATGAAACAGAAAATGTTCAAAAGTTAATATATCTCATGAACAAAAAATAATGTAAGCTGGTAAAATGAAAACCTATAGCAATGAGCCACCTGAGTGAATCATATGTGTAATTTCTAAAATCCTTTGAAGAATTCCAGTCTTTTTCCCAAAGCTACAATCTATGTTGATATGCACTTACAGGAAAACAAATCACACACTTTCAAAACAAATTAAGAATCTTATCAAAAATAAATTCACATTAAATTTTTTTTTATTGGCTTTAAGCATAAACATTTATACACATACACAGTTACACCATGGCTGGATTGATTGTATGTTGTTTTACATCCCATTTGAGAATTTTTCACTCATTTAGAAATGTCACTATATACCGGTGAAGGGCACTCAGGGCCATTGAGCAGTGAGGGATCTTTATCTTGCAAAAGCCTTCCATGACACGGGACTTTGGTTTTTAAGGTCTCATCAGAATGACCCGCAACTTTCACTTCAAGAGCCAAGTGCATGGCAAAGGAACAGTTGCTACTCAATTTTACTGACTTAGTCAGTTGTGGCCGGGATTCGAACTCATGACCTCCTGATCGCGAAGCAAGCGCTCTACCGACTGAACTGCTGTGAACGGTTCACCATGGCTGGAAGGGTTGTACATATACATTTCAGGAAATATTCACTTTCATTATGAACTAGAAATATGTCCATAGGACATGAATGCCACGCCGAGGATATATTAATAAAGCAACATGAAAATTTGTATGTGAATAAAATTTGATCAGTTTGGTTTAGATAGGGCTTATAGTTACTAGGGAATAAAAATGTAGTTCAGATCCAGCATCCAAAGCAAGTCTGGTAGTGTCCATCCCTAGATGCATCATCCATGAAAGTTTGGTTCAGGCAGGGCTTCTAGTTATTGGGAATGAAAATATAGGTCAGATCCAGCATCCGAAGCAAGTCTGGTAGTGTCCATCCCTAGATGCATCATCCATGCAAGTTTGGTTCAGGTAGGGCTTATAGTTACTTGGGACTGAAAATATAGGTCAGATCCAGCATTTGAAGCAAGTCTGGTAGTGTCCATCCTTAGATTCATCATCCATGAAAGTTTGGTTCAGGTAGGGCTTATAGTTACTTGGGAAGGAAAACATAGGTCAGATCCAGCATCTGAAGCAAGTCTGGTAGTGTCCATCCTTAGATGCATCATCCATGCAAGTTTGGTTCAGGCAGGACTTATAGTTACTTGGGGATGAAAATGTAGGTCAGATCCAGCATCCGAAGCAGGTCTGGTAGTGTCCATCCCTAGATGCATCATCCATGCACGTTTGGTTCAGGTAGGGCTTATAGTTGCTTGGGAATGAAAATGTAGGTCAGATCCAGCATCCGAAGCAAGTCTGGTAGTGTCCATCCCTAGATGCATCATCCATGCAAGTTTGGTTCAGGCAGGGCTTCTAGTTACTTGGGAATGAAAATATAGGTCAGATCCATCATCCGAAGCAAGTCTGGTAGTGTCCATCCCTAGATGCATCATCCATGCAAGTTTGGTTCAGGTAGGGCTTATAGTTGCTTGGGAATGAAAATGTAGGTCAGATCCAGCATCCGAAGCAAGTCTGGTAGTGTCCATCCTTAGATGCATCATCCATGCAAGTTTGGTCCAAGTAGGGCTTATAGTTTCTTAGGAATGAACCTGCTCCAAAAACTTTAACCTGGTCACTCATCTGGAAAATGTAGGTCAGATCCAGCATCCAAAGCAAGTCTTGTAGTGTTCATCCCTAGATGCATCATCCGTGCAAGTTTGTATCAACATGTGAAGTTTGATAACACCATCTTGAATGGTATGTTTAAAACTGAGCTAAACACTAATTTAAGAAAAGTGAGGTCAAGGTCAAAAGAAAGGTCAAGGTCAAAAAATGTTGATGCAGTTGCATAGCCCTCATCAATATCTATCAGCATGTGAAATTTGATGAAAATGTCTTGGATAGTTTCTTTGAAACTTAGCTTTGAACAGAGCTAAACACAAAGTGGGACGGAAGGACGGAAGGACTGAAGACGGACATGACAAACACTATATGCCCCGGCCATATTCATGGCTGGGCATAAAAATAGTGACTTACATTTTGATTGTATTCATCATTTTCTAGAAAGTCTCTGACAGTTTGTAGTGCCACATGTACAGCCTTTTCACTTGGGTATCCTACAATGTTTTTTAAATGATTCAGAAGTCAAAATCAAACTTTTCAGATTTTAAAAACAAAGTAAATTTTAAAAATTCTGCTAAAATATCACTGCCAAAGCTATAAAAAAAGGCTAATATTTTTGCTGAAGCTTACCATATATCCCTGTAGATATGCATGGAATTGCCTGAAAATTGTACAATTGTGAAAAATAAGAACTTGACACACTTGTTTAATAAATTATTCAATATGACAAATATAAAAAGAATACCAAGAGGCCCATGGGCCACATCGCTCACCAGAGCACTGTAGCTAGGAACAAGCAAAAATCAATTCAGTAAGTGCTTAAGTCATCCAGACTCTAAAAGAAGGATATGATTAGAACAAACCTGAATATATGCAAATTTAAATCTACACTATCTAAGGATGATTACATATTTTTTACTAACTGTGGCTTTTTTCCCTTTAAGTTTTTACTTTTATTGTGATCCCCCCCCCCCCACCATGTGTCGTGATTTGAACAAACTTGAATCTACACTTCCTGACTATGCTTCCACATAAATATTTTTGACGAATCCATAAAAAACTTAGGTTTTTTAGACAAAGGTACTTGCGGACAGGAAGCCCCCATGGCTTTGCTGTTCTTGAGAAGATTTTTAAAGATTTTTCCTATATACATGTATTCCTTTGAAAAACTCTGATTGTCCATTTAGCCCCGCCCTACCCCGGGAGTCATGATTTGAACAAACTTGAATTAACACTACCTGAAGATGTTTCCACATAAGTTTCATCTTTCCTGGCCCAGTAGATCTTGAGAAGAAGATTTTTAAAAGATGCCATTTATTTTTTTTCACTTGTCTCCCTTTGGACTGGGGTAAGGCCCTTTATTTGAACAAACTTGAATCCCCTTCACTTAAGGATACTTTGTGGCAAGTTTGGTTGAAAATGTTCCAGTGGTTCTTGAGAAGAGGTCGAAAATGTGAAAAGTTTACTCACAGACATACAAGCTTACTAGAGCCTACAGCTTACACAGCCAATTGTGCCTAACGTTAATTTAACACAAAAGTAACATTAAGCTAACATCAAGCTAACGTTAATTTAATGTTAATTGAGATCAACACTAAATTAACGTTCGGCACAATTTTGGCTGTGTAGGTGAGCAAAAATCTATAGGGCTCAATTTGACCTTGCTTTTCAAAGATTTTTTCCGAATGTATTCACATGAAAAATTTGGCCTAATATTGTAGTCTGAGAAGTCATGGACTTATTAACCAAACTTGAATGATGCTTCTGAATACAAGAGGCTCATACAACAATGCTTCTCTGAGCTAGCTGTTTTGTTTTGTTTTTAAGGGGGGAACAATTTCTTAAAAGATATTTTCTCCCTATTATTTTCCCAGATAAGAATTCACCCCATATTGAAGCCTTACTCTTGCACCAAAGCATCATGACTTTGCCAAACTTGAATCCGTCTGACCGTAAAATGGTCATTATTTACAGCAAAGCAATAAAAAAGGCCAAAAACAGATAAGATTAAGAAATAAAATATGCTGTTTGTTCTTAAACTTTCATTGCCCCTTGTTGCCTAACTGTAACCTTGAGAGTCATGATTTGAAGAAAGTTCGATCAATCTGCAAGATGAGGATCCTTTAAAATAACTAAATTTTATCAATTCTTTGCCTTTCTAATGAAAAAGACTTTAATAATTAAGTTTTTCCTGTATATTGCTTTGTAAAAGTTTGATTTCCCATTGTGGCCCAACCCTACCTTGGGTTCATATGATAGGCCTTTTTACTTAATGCAGGAGAAACCATAAAAATCAACCTAGTTATTATATTAATTCCAGTTATGGTTCAATAATTAAGTTTCAAAAACAGAAATTCCCTTACCACGGAGGCTAGACTGTTTTCCTTTACACGACTAAGTACAGATGAATATGCTCTGGATAGTAAATCTTCCTTCTCACCAATGGGGCCCACTGTATGTATCACATCTAGAACCAATAAAATCGGAAGTTAACTGTTTGTACAGAAACATACACATACATAAGACAGTTGTGAAAAAATTCCACAGACTGAATTATATCTTTTACAGTTCATAACATTTTTATGAAATTTTTTAGATGGAATAAGTGTGCTATTGATAAATTACAAATTTTAACATTATTAATTGATTAAAATTAAATCAATATGCATTCTGTCGTTATTGATTTGACATCAGAAGTGATAAACATTACTGGTTAAGATCTTTTGAAGAAATACACAATTTCCCAAATCAAATTCTTTATTTCTTCATAAAGATGTGAAATAAAAGTCTTAATTATGATGAATCAGATATATACCAACAACGCAAGTGGGTTAAGGCTACATATGGAGGTTTCTATGCAAAATATTAATTAAATTCCATAATTGCTCTACCTACCACACAGAAAATGTTAGGACTTGTTTTCTAATACATTCTTGGTACCCGCGACATGCGATAGCCAGTACATTATGACGTCATCGACCTCTACTACACAAGTTTATAATAAACATCAACAAAATCGCTTCAGCGCAAGGGCATACCTTACTTAAAAGACGCAGGATATTCCAAGGATTTAAGATATTGCTGCACAAATGTCGGCACTGCAATTGTTTAGTTACTATTCATGCAGTTTTAAGTTTTAACAGGGTAAAAATTCACAGTCCAGTGCAAGTTTCTTAAAAATTTTATCGATTGAAAAAGTGCATAGGATTTGTGCAGCAATTTTAATAATTTTAAGACTATTCTCCTTAATATTATACATTGTTTATTTTAAATTAGATAAGATATGCCCATGTGCCGACGTGATTTTGTTGATGTGATTTATTACCTTGAATGGGAGAGAACAATGACGTAATTGGGATAAGCACGCGCCCTGCGCCATAGTCGCATTAAATTTTAAAATGTCACATTAAAATTAAAAATTCTGCGCCATTGTGGCGCATACATGTATATAATCATGAACTAGCAACACTACATACTTTTAAACTTTGAGCTTTCCCCCAAGCGCTTGTAGTCTTTCCGACAACAATCGCTGTCAATTTACGCTTGAGAAAACAGTATTTAATGTCGTTCGGTTAAAGCGTTCTTATGACTTTCTTTTCTCCAGTATCTAATCAAACAGTTACGTGTTTTCTGATTGGCTGACGCGCACGAAATAAGCATGCCGCCTACGGAAAAAACTTTGTACTGATAAAGGTGTCATAACAGTATTACACTTTGGTTCACGTCCAATCATGGCTGACGCAAAATAATCCCGGAATCTTCCCTTCCGATTCCGGCATTTTGATACGAGACTGGAGCTGAATTTTTTTATGAGATGAAAAACAACATGTAAACTTCCTGTATTGACCAGATTTATTAAAATTTAGGGCGTGCTGATTTTTCTATATACTGTCAAGAGTGAGGAGTGATTAGGCCCTGGACTAGATTTTCAAACACCTGCTCGACTTCGACCGAAACAAACTTGCGTGCCTTGCTGGATGGCTATGTATTTTTTGGTACTAAAATCTTTATAAAGAATGGTTTTACAAGATCTGAAAAGGAAACTTCTCAGAAGTTTGTTTTGAATTAGTTACATCTACTCAAACTTGCGCATTTTTGGTAAGAATATATAGCAGAAATTAATACTGTTGTGACACCTGCAAAAGGGCAGACCTTTCATAATTTTAACAATTCTTACAAACAGAATCAAGAAAATCGGTAGAAAATACTCGGAACAAGTATAACATGCTGACAGAACAAAGAGAGATAAATCTGACGGTAAGACTGA